GACAAGGCATTTTCCCCCCTTTCCGAATGAGGCCTTGTAGGCATCATAGCAAAGTCCTTTACTTTGCCTGCTTGATAATGATGTGATCCTGAGGTCTTCTTTTGGTTCTTACTTGAAGAACTTGGGGCAGATGCTGTACCAACATTTGTACATGATATATCTTTCAGAAGGAGTTTCTTCTTATGGATTGGGTTACCTGATTAGTTATTAAAGCTTTTCTTGTTTCAACTTAAGAGTTGCTTATGCATTAACTGTACTGAATTGTCCCGTCATGTTGGCTAGTCACCCTTTGGCACCACTGCATCCACCATTTGGGGTTTAGGGTTGTCAGCCCCTTTGATGATCAAGGTAAATTTTCATTTCTAAGTTCTTTGATTTTAATAAGAAAATATTTTTGTCTTTTTGTTTCCAGTTATTTATAGCACAAAATTATATAGATTTTTCAAGTACATTGAAAACCGAGATGTGGCCAAATCAGTTTTGAAAGAGAGGGGTCTTAAGAAGATCAGATTGGGAATAGAAGGTAAGACGTTTTCATTATTTTCCATTGATTTTCTTTTGAAAAAAACAAGGTAAAAAAATTGGATCTCATTTAGAAGACAGTTTGAGTACTTTGAGGAAAAACTCAGATAAAGGATTTTCGAGTGGTCACGTAGTAGGTCTATACATAACAAAAACAAGTTTCCTTTCTCTGAGAAAATAGAGGGAAGGCCATATAGAAATTTTTATTCCATAAGATTCCCTAGCAATATAAGAGATGTGTATTTATCTTTTCTGCTGTAGCTTGCTCTAATGCACTTTTGAATTAGTCCATACATATTTAGATTGCTTTTTACTTTATGATTTAAATAAATTTTTCCAAGTGCCATGTCAGACGCTTCTTTGATTTTCAAAATGTCCTTAGTAAGCATTAAGTATCTTCATAGTGTGGCATAGGATAGAGAATAAAGGTTCTGGAGCCAGATTGCTTGTGTTCAAATCCTGTGACTTAGTAGGTGTATGACCTTGGCCAAGTTATTTAACCTCTCTGTGCTTTAGTTTCCCCATCTGAGGGTTATTGTGAGGATAGAATGAGTCGATACATGAGATACACTTACAGCAAACCTGGCATGTAGTAATTTCTCTCTGTATTTTTGATGATGACAGTGGAGATAACGGTGTCGATCAGTGACCCAACTGAGCTGTTGAAGATCACAAAATGTCAGGTCCTTGACAGTGTTGTTCTGTTGTTTCATCACAACATTGATGAGATACCGTAGGAGCCTAACTTATTTATGTCAACTAGCCTGTGGTAAAGTTGGCTTCATTATATCATTTGCTTCAAGTCACAGAACTATTGGCAACATTAAGTGAGGACTTAGTGTAATGGGCTGCTGGGACACACAGGGAAGAATGACTGGAAATAGTCTTTGCAGGAAAAGACTTGGGGCTTTAAAAACTAGTGAAATTGCTGACACATTAGTTTCATGTGGTGTGCATGTGCATGTCTTCTGTAATCCTCAGACAGTGGGAATTAGCTGCTCGGTTTCAGAGCTAGAGAGAAAGCAACTGGGAGCCACTTTGGAGTGGGAAGACAAGGGCGGCCTCTGTAAGGAGAAGACGTTTCACTTGGAACCAGACTGTAAAGAAGCTTTAATACACTACGCCACGGAGTGTGGGTCTTCCTCTTTCAGCATGAGGAAACTATCAGTGGTTTTCAGCAAGGACACACTCTGATTGCACTTGTTAGAGCAGTGATTCTGCGTGGAGAGTACAATGACAGGGGAAGTTGGGAGACTTTATAATAGTCCAGGAGGAGTCCAGGAGGGGCACTAGAGGTGGAGGCCTTTCAGATCTCTAGTGCTGGCTTTCAGGTGGCAGCTGACCGGGTGTGTGAAATGCAGGAGCCGTTCTGCGGGAGGCCGTTGGAAGGTTTGTAGCCCTGTGTGCCCTCCTCACCTTAACCACATACCCACCGCCACACGTGGCTGAATATGTGTCCTAGCTACCAATACTGCCTTTTTAGTTTTTCTGATTCTAACTGTGGTGTGTGGCCTCTGAGCAAAATCCAGCCCATTCCCTGTTCTCTTATAAATAAAGTTTTATTGGAATATAAACATGCCCATTCATGTATGTGTTGTCTGTGGCTGATTTCACTTTACGGTGGCATAACTGAGATAGAATGTTATGCAAGCCTCAAATATTTATTTACTCTAGCCTTTTACAGAAAATGTTTGACGCTTCCTGGTCTAAACTATTAATTTTTGCTAGTAGGAAGGAGGAGAGGGACTCATAATAATTTCTAAAAAGATTATGTCTTTGGAGAATTGCCTTGCCTGGTAAATGACCAAAAATTTTCCAAAACTAGGATTGTCCTGACTTGCTACTTCTCAGTAATTATGAGCCAAGAGAGGGAAGGTATAATTAATTAGGAAAAGCTGCTTCAGAATTGCCAGTCCAGATGGACTGCTTGGTAGTTGGGAGTAGTAACCAGTAACATGACATATGGGGATTAAAATACTGCCTCTGCTTCCCTAGGGGGGGCCGTGCCTAGACCCAGCGAGGCTGGAGAGCCCCACACCTCTTTGTCATTTAACCAGAAAAGGAGAGAACAACCCAGAGCAGTATGAAAATGAGGCTTAGGTTTAAGGAAAGTAGAAGGCAAATGTGGCAGGAAAATGCACATCTTGAGACCACATAATCCTGTGAAGGGAAGGGAGAGCTCAGGGATATTAAGGATGCACAGCTAGAGCCCCAGGTGCACTGGATGACATACCCTTTTCTTTGAGAACCCACCCTTTCCATGCTCACAAAGAATGTGTTTTTGGTGATTGGCATATTGAGCGGCTGAGAGGATGGTAGATGGTTTGTGAGTCACGTTAGTAGGATTTTAGTTTCTGGTGTTGAACTGATGACTAAAGGGATGGATATTGGTTTCCATTCTTTCTTCTTTTTTAAATTTCTGTTTGTTAGGAGCTATAGCAGAAAAGCCCTCTTTAGAGTAAATTGGAGGAGAAGTTTTGGAGGGCCATGTGTGTGCCAGTGTGTATCCTCTGTTTTTAAAGTCTTTGTCTCCTCCAGGTTATCCTACCTATAAAGAAAAAATAAAGAAAAGGCCTGGGGGCCGCCCAGAAGTGATTTACAACTATGTCCAAAGACCGTTTATTCGAATGTCCTGGGAGAAGGAAGAAGGAAAAAGTCGGCATGTGGACTTTCAGTGCGTAAAGAGTAAATCTATCACCAACCTCGCAGCAGCTGCCGCAGACATTCCCCAGGACCAGCTGGTAGTCATGCACCCGACTCCGCAAGTGGACGAGCTGGATATTCTCCCCATCCACCCCCCTTCCGGCAGCAATGACCTCGATCCTGATGCGCAGAATCCGATGCTGTGATGCCGGTGTTCCTCGAAACCATCGCATGCTACTCTTCCCAGTGACGTTGCACTCCCCTCATTCTGCACTGCGAGGCCGCACTCTTCATCGTGAGATGCACATCACAATGTTAGGATATTGCAGTGTAGCCTTTTTTAAAGACCAAAGGTAGCCGAATGGTTTTTTAAATGAGTACAACTCTAGCATCCTGAGGTCCCAGTTACATAAATGTGTTTGTTTACCAGTGGGTTTGTGAAATTGGTTCTTTGTATGGGGGACAGTCCTTTTTCACACATCTAGATCTTTTCAGAAGTGGTGGGAATTGGCCGCTGGGGTCCTTTCAGTCTAGACTGAGATTTGTCACACCTCAGATAAAATGCAGAATATTACATAGTTGCACTTTATAAATGGTGGTTAAATGGAATTGTTCAAGCCATTTTTATAGTTGTGATGCACAATGTAACTTAAATAAGTGCTTCTATCAAAGTATTCCTTCAGTAAAATGTGTATAGTTTACTGCCCGTGATGAGCAAAAAATGAGTATTTATCATTGGGCATGTCTGAATGATTAGAATGAGATTCAGTGCCCACATCTTAACAGTTCAGTTATCTCCAGTGCCGTTTTCGCCCTTTTAGCGTGAGTCACATGCAGGGAATGTGAACGTCGTGGGTGGTTTGTTATCCAGTCTGCCTTACCCTTAACCTGTTCACAGATATTTATTTACTAATGGTTTTTTTTTAAGAGTTATGAGATAGGAAAATGAAGTGTTTGCTCTTCATTTACTAAATGATTGTAAACTCGTTTTTCATCAAAATAAAAATTCCATTGTTTTCATGTTTCTGATCAACTTCATAACCTTGCCCATTTTTAGCCTCATAGTTAGCAGACTCCCTGTCTTGGTGTCAGTATAACTAGAAAACAAATAGTAGCTCGTGGAACTCCACTTTGGTATTTGCGTGTTGAGGCACTCATTATACCTACTGATCATAAAATGCTGTAAATCCCAAAGGACGTTGGATCTGAAAAGAGAACATTTTCTCGTTCAACCTGGTATGAAGGGTGGAATACCTTAATGTACAGTAACCTTAAGTGTCAGAACCGATTTCTGACACTAGGTATTTTTCCCATTATACTGTGCTGCCCTGTTAGCACATTACTCATACAAATGCTTCTTTTCTAAAACACATGCTGTGTGACCCAGTTCAGGAACGGGTCAGAAGCATTAGGTTCATTGGGTCCGGGGGTCACATAACGTTGGAAGCCGTACAGTTGTAAGGACTAGGAGAGAGGAGTTGTAATAGAGAAGCTAATTTGTTACATCTGATCTTGAATTTGTAATTTAAGAGGATTTGGCTTTGTGTTTAAGCAGTGATATCTTTGTTCTCACAGAAATGAAGACTGTAACGATTTGGAGATTAACTATTTTAACAAAATAGCCAAGCTTTTAACACAGGGAAGCAATGCCAGTCCCAGAATAGTTACGAAGGCCAAAAGGATATAAATATTATTGGCATGGATGGTCCTTAAAACTCACCGTAGAAAATTGGTGATCCAGCCCTGGAGCATGTAGCATTTTTTCTAATTATTGGAAACGTGGACAATATTTATAGAACAAGGAAAACATTTATTAAAAATATTTAACTGTCTAATACATTATACTTTAACCCATATTTATAGTAAAGGATTCTTACAAGGAAGAATAAACAGCTTTATGATACAATTAGTATAAGAAATATCCACATGGGGGACTTCTTTGTAGTGTAAAAACACCATACATCTGAAATGACCATTTGCATATAAAAGCTACCAATGATGCCTCTGTGCACAATGATTAAAAAAATTTAACACAAACAGAATCCAAAATATACAATTAATGCAAGCTATGCACAGCTAGCCCAATAATCAATGATGAGGGAACACTGGAGCAGGCTTGGTTCCACTTTGTCTGAAGTTACACAGAGTAAGATTGACTTGTATCAATGGCTCTGAGATGGCTTTTATGAAGACAGTACATAAAAGCTGTTCTCTCCTTACCCAGTAAGCTTCACAGACTGTAAAACTCCACCATTAATGCACTTTGATACTGTAGCTGTTGCGAAAGCAACATGTAGTGTTTACAGCGGCCACGGCAAGTCGCTGAAGTCGACAGGGCCGCCCAGCCCGGCGTCTGCTTCCAGGAGGCTCATGATGACCGCCATCGCCGCTTCGTCGTTGCTGGGGCTGCTGGAGCCTTGGTCGTTGTCCATCACGTCTATGCCTATGTGCGGGTTCTCCCCTGGGAGAGGGGGGAAGACGGGTTAGTGGCAATACCACAGTGTGCTCGCCGTAGGAAGCAATCCCTAAGCACACTTTTATCGAGAAAGTTACACTTAATACAGTAGGGTGAGAGGTGCTACATTACCTATGTGTTTTTTTTAACTTTGGGGTTTTCAGAGGGAAAAACCAACTTTTTTAGAAACACAGCGCTTAAAACGAAATAGATTAAAAGCATTTGAGTTGACCTCATTTTAATATTCTGATATAGCTAATTACAAGGATGGAGTTACAGAAGAACTAGGGGAGTGGAGAGTAGGAAAAAAGGACATCTAGAAAGATAATTAAAAAAAAAAGATGTGTGGGTTGGGAGAAGCAGACTCTACATTGCTAAGTGACTTAATGCCATATGAAATGCTTATTGATCGCCCTTCTGGGCTGGATCGCTAAGCCTTCATTGACTTTTGCACTGAAGAGATCAGGTCCTAACGTGGTGGGAGAAAGCCTGCGTCCAGGCTGCTGTGGTCTCCTGGGCCCCTGGGGTAAACCCGGGCACCTCACCAGAACTCAGCCATTAAACTCAGATAAAGATTTAAACAAATTTTAAATGTACTTTGTTCATATGAAATCACCTAGAACTAGGTTGTTTGGTCCATTTACATTCACATAATTAAAACTCCCTTTGTGCCAGATGTGTTGCCAGCTCGTAATGGAAACTAGTAAGAATGGCACTTACCAAGAATAGAAGAACTATCCGAGTATGGATAGCCTGGGTTCTCCTGAGCCTGCCCCGGTAGTAGGCCAATGGAAGGAATGTCTGGAGTCCCTCCATTCAAAATCTACAAACAACAGTGAAGTTGTCACATTACCAGCAGTTTCACTCCATACCGTACAGTGTCACCAAGAAAATGAATCATGTTGAAAAGAGGAAAGTGGGAGAAAACTTCAAATGGCTTCAATTTCCTATTGGATTGTTTTAAACAAGAAACTATTAATAGTCATGTAACATATAAACCTCTTCCCTGAAACTATTCTTTTCTCTTAATTAGACTCAGCCCACATGGGCGATTTAAAGCACAGGTGGCAAACACAAGGCCCACGGGCCGAGTCCAGCCTCCACCTTGTTTTATCCGCCCTGCCTCCCTGGCACTTTGTTTCCGCCTGCGGCAGTGCTGAGCTCCTTGCCCCTAGTTAAGGAGGAGTTGCATTCACACAGCCCTAAAATTACATTTGGCCCTTTGAAGGCAACTGTGAGGCTGAAGTGGCCCCTGGTGAAAATGAGCTTGACACCCCTGATTTAAAAGCTGAATAAAATCCCTAAATCATTCAGTTACCTTGGGTCATGCTGCTCATGTGTCTCTTTAAGGCCAAGGACTAAACCTCAATGAGCCCAACTGGGCAGTTCCCCTTTAAGGGAGTAAAACATTACAGCGACAGATGTTGTCGAAGGAACAAGGGCTTGTTAACACACAGGAGAGAAGGCTCTGAGGAGTTACAAATGAACAAAACACTGGAAGTAAATCCCTCGTCTCTAGTGAACTCCAGGTGTTGACTCCAGTAATCAGTGGTTTATGTTCTTAAAATAGGCCCTGAGAAGCATTGTTATCACTCCTCAGTAGCAGAATTCTCACTCTGCCCCATCCCTGCCAGCTTCCTTCCCCTGGCTGAGTCAAAGAAAAGCATCCAGTATTTGAACGTAGGTGAGGAAACTGGGTGGCTCCCTTGGATTTCAGGAGAGGTGGTGATTTCGGGCCTTGCCAGTAGGTGGCATTATACCTTCATCTTGCAGTTCAAATTTTTGGTCTAGAGACCCCTTTATACTCTTTAAATAAAAATTGAGGACTTCAAAGAACTTTTGTTTATGTAAACTATATTTATCAATGTTTAGTGTATTTAAATACAATGTTAGCATACTTAGTTAAAACTTACGAATTTTAAAATATAATAAACCTATTACCTGTTAACATGAATAGCATTTTAATGAAAAATAACTATTTCCCCAAACAAAAAATTAGTGAAGGTGTCTTGTTTGACATTTTAAAAAATCCACTATCTGCCTTAATAGAATTTGAATTAATGGAATCCTCGTATTTGCTTCTCCATTTAGTCTGTTTAGAGTATATGAAGGAAATCTGGCCTCCCACAGAGATGTAGTTGGAAAAGGGAGGTATATTTTAATAACTTTGTCAAGTAATTGTGGTATCCTTGATATCACATCAAAACCCAGTACGTGGCCCTGGCCAGTGTGGCTCAGTTGGTTGGGTGTTATCCCCAAAACCAAAAGGTTGCTGGTTCAGTTCCCGGTCAGGGCCCATGCCTGGGTTGGCAGGTTTGGTCCCCAGTCAGGGTGTACGGATGGAAGCCAATTGATGTTTCTCACATCAATGTTTTTCTCGTCTCATTCTCCTTTCCTTCCCCTCTCTAAAATAAAATAAAAACTCGGTAAGTGGAGGTTTCTCAAAAGGTTTGCTGCAGCCTGGAATCTGAAACTCTATCAAAGAAATCTTTGTATTCATGTTAAAACCCATCGGAATACCCATCTTCGGAAGGATCTTTTACCTTTGCACGATTTAAAATACCTTGCACTGGACGCCCTCTCCCTCCTGTGAGCGCACCGACACCTTCCCCTCCCCCTCTTCTCCCACAGGCATGCATCTCCTAAACTCTAAGGGACCCCACAAGACTTGCAGCCGAGGGGGCAGTGGGCAGCGGCCGCTCGTCCTGGGATAACCCCCTGAACCTGCCTCCAAGGCCCCCGCTTCTCTGACTGTCCGGTGCCCCGACAGCAGCCCCGCCCTGGCTCACTGCTTCCTTCCACTGTGACTTTTCTCAGTGAGCCTCAGCAGCCCCACCTGGGCTCTCCTGTTACTTCTGTCCTAAAGCCCTTCCTTGTTGCACTGTCCCCAGCGTCAGTAAACGTACTTTCAAAATAAAAAAAAAAAAACAAAATACCTTGCATTGGCCATTTGGAAAATACTGGCTCAACTGAGTTATTCAGATCTTCCAAAAGTTGACACATTTCATTGTACAGCACCAGAGACATCACCATGATTAACATTAAGTCGTCAGAAACATTTTTTAAGTTTTAGAAAGCTGTTGAGCTCAAAGTAGCAAAAGTTTTCTGAAAATTCTAATTTTTGCTTGAAAGTTAGTTTATCATTGGCAACAAATACTGTCAGTTGTTTTCCTTCAAGCTACAGGTTACTTCATTCATTGTCAAGAAAATCTGTGCTCAGTACCAAAGTCTGAATAGCCATAGTCCACAGTAGTAAAAATCGGGTCCTATGAAAGACAGCAGTTGGTCCAGCTAAAGTGAGACCCGATCACACACGTGCCTTCCCTGGGACAACCGCCACGTGTTGGTGCACCACACGGGCGCTTTATGCACGCTTCCCGTTCTGCAGCGTATTAAGCTTTGCTCGAGGGTTTTATGCAAGCAGTCCTTTTTGCTACTTCACTGAGGACATTATTAAATGGATCTCAGTGAAGGTGCCCTTGCTAGCACACCCTGACTTTTGTGAAAACACCAGCAGTTTTACTCAACATTGCTTGTGTACCATCAGTTCACATCTCTACGCAGTGAGGAAAAATCATTTTAGCATTATTATGAAAATAGTTTGAACTTGACAGAGACCCGAAAGGATCTTGTCCCCCCACCTCTCCCAAAAAGGTCACAGTTGGCATTTAAGGAACTGCCCCTTTACCTGAACCTCACTGCCTCTGGATGTCCGGACCGACCTGGAAACAATGAGGCTCGCTTACCATCTCCCTTGCAGCTTAACCTTGACTGAAACAACTGGCGGGCTGAGGGGCGCACCTCCGACCTGCCGCACTGGACAGTGGCTGGCCAGGGCTGGGAGCGGTGCGGCTCTGGTGCACTGTTTACTGCTGCTGACACTTAACTCGGACGTGTTTAGGCTGCTCTTACTAAGTCCTGCTGCTGAAGACTCAGAGAAATTCTGAAATACATTCAGAATTTCACCTCTCTGACCCACTCTTACAAGCTCAGAGAAAAGGAAAAATTTTTTTTTTCACGAATGCTTTAACAATACTTGGGGCTTTGTGTTGCAGAATGCACTGGTTCATCTCTGGCAGTTACTGGTGTGAAAAGAATCAGAGGTCAAGCGTCCTGAATGTAGTTTGGAGCCGTAGTTACTGAAATGCTGGGCTAATCATTTAACAGCTGGGAGTCTGGGTTTCGTTACCCAGGAAGCTGTGAGGACACAATGAGAATGGGCACTGAAAGTTCCCGGAGTGCATTTAAGCGCTGCACTGGGTTGATAACCTTACAAAACAAAGAGGAGTGGGATTCTTGGTAATATCGGGGAGCTGGGAAGTAGAGGAGGGGAAACTGGCCTAGGAGGCGGTGGGTCCCACCTGGAGGAAGGCCTGGGGGTGTAACAGGACTGCGGAGCTGAGAGCAGGGCCTGCAGCCCAGGGTGGGGGGGCGCCCCTGGCCCGGGCTTCATCTAATCGATGCTGTTTTCTGCATCTCCCCCAAAGGCCAGGCTTGTTCACATACTATCTCATAACAGGAGTTTGTGGGCAACGACTCTGGCTGTCCCCACCTGGGGTAGTCCCATTATAAAGAAAAGTGGGGCTTAAAAATGGTTCAGGGTCACAGAGCCAGCATAAGGCAAATCGAAGCCAGGTCTGTCTCACTTTGACCGTGAGCTTGCCCATTAATTTACTGACTTTAAAACAGTATTTTTGGGGGGTGGGAAGCAAAACTTCATTTCAAACAGAAGCTTTTCTGGATGATTCATCTGTAAGGAGTAGAGCTGCCCTGGTGTAAGGTGTGGGAGTCCTGCCCTCCCACCTTGGCCCACTGGCCCCACCCCGCCCACCGGCAGGACCGCGGCTCCTCCTGCTCCCCTAACCCCCGGGTGTCTGTTTTGAAAACCCACGTCCCGCTTTTGCTACAGTGTGTGCCCCAGGAGTCCCGCCATGTAAACTACCAATGCTCCTTCTGTGTGTGTTTCGGGAGGCAGGAGGAGGAAGACTCGATGGGTAAAGATGCTGGCCCTTGGGTCATCCTAACCTGTGTTAACATCAGGCACCGTAAACGGAGTCACAATGTACAGTGAGCATGGCCTAGGCTTGTCAATTCTCTGGCAAAGATGAAACAGACGGGCGTTTGTAAGCCTATGCACAGTGCAGCCTTCTAGCGAGCTCTTCGTGAGGGCTGACGACTGATGAGCCACATGTACACTTGCCACCATATCACAGGAAACCCAGGTGGCAGGTCCCTAAGCACCCTGCGACTGCAGAAGCATGGCTTGCTCTCCAAAGCCCTGCTGGTGGTATCACTGGGTCCGGTCCCTGCACGAGACACTGACAACATTCTCTCCCCGGGAAACTGCTGGCAGGGCCCTGGACAGTCTTCTGTGCGTGGTCCTCACTGATCCCGCCCTCGTGGGAGCTCTTCCACTGCTCCCTCAAGGCCGTGGGCTGATGGCTCCCCATTCCTCGGGATAATCTTTCTGCTTCTGCCGCTCGAGTGGAATTAACCCTCCAGGGGTGTCAGCAAGCCCCACCGGTGTGCCTTGTGCCCAGCCTCCCACACGTGTGTTTACTTCAAGGGAAAAGTGTTTCAGCAACCACAACTGTAACTGCGTCCTCTCCCGCCAACATTTGAGAACTTGGGCAAGAGGCTCTCTAGGTTAAGAAAGTCTTGGGGTCTAAGAGGCATCAGCAGCCTTACCTTCTTGCCTCCGGGAGAAGAGGCATCAGGGGGAGGCGTGCTTGTGATGTTCAGCGGGCTGGAGCCACAGCTGGAAGGCGATGACCCCCTTATCCTGTTGGAGAAAAGGGCAGTTAGTTATGTTGCCTTGCTTTCTTCCAGTGGAGTGTGTGTGTGTGTGTGTGTGTGTGTGTGTGGTTGTTGTTGAGGGGTGAGGGTAAGAAGAAGGATGACGATCTACAACAGGATTTGGCAAGCCTTTTCTGTAAAGGAGAAGGTAACTACTTTAGGCTCCCGATGGTCTTTGTCACAGATACTCAACTCTGCCACTGTAGCCTGAAAGCAGCCACAGACACTATGGAAATGAATGGGTGTGGCTGTGTTCCAATAAAGCTTTACTTACAAAAACAGGTGATAAACTGGATTTATCCCATAGGCACCTAATCTAGAATACAGACCCTGGAGTCAAGCTTCTCAATGACAAACCTCTTGGATTAGGGTTTGGATTTCAGGTTGGAATTTCAAGTAAGTGGCCAGGTTTATTTCCTTGCAAAATCCAGACCTCGGAGTTGCAGGGGACTTTGAAGTTCAGTCTCTGCTTAGATACTGTGAACTGGAATCCACAGCAGTTGATTTATCCTCTTCCCTGCAGACACTGTTCGGCCAGTGAACACTCGCAGGAAATGGAGGCTGCCGGGCGGCTCGGCCGCTCCGAGGGAGTGGCGTGGCACCCTCCTCTACGCCCACAGGTGGTAGAAGAGGGGTCCTGGCCCCTCTCAGCTGCCGCAGGCTCAGAGGGACAGCCTTGGGACTCTAAACCCACGTACACTCTTGTCAGGCTGGAGAACCTCAGGAGAGGGCGCCAGGGCCTGGCGCTGAAGCCCGAGTTTAGGGAGAGTATGGTGGCAGCTCCTACACGATGACAGCAGCGTTTGGGTCCCTCAGGGGTCCCTCCCTCACCGCCTAGCAGCCTTTTGGCTCTCGGCCTGTACTGCCTAGTGCTACGGACCTGTGAGTGAACAAGCTCTCTCTCTCCCCTGGACCACAAGCTTCTCAAAGGCAGGATACAACTACGTACCATGCTGTTTTAGGGTGCACAGATGGCAACTAATTGTTTCCTGCAAAGTGCTGAATGTCTCCCTCCTTTCCTTACCTCTGTGAGACCACTATTTTCCCAGGTTCCCCATCTTGGAATTGCCTTTTCAGTGTTTCTTTTTCTTTTTAAGATTTTATTTTTAAGAGAAGGGGGGGAAGGCAGGGAGAAAGAGAGGAAGAGAAACATCGATTGGTTGCTTTTCGCATGCCCCCTGGGACCTGGCCTGCAACCCAGGTGTGTGCCCTGACTGGGAATCGAACTGGCAACCTTTCAGTTTGCAGGCCGGTGCTCAATCCACTGAGCTACACCAACCAGAGCTATTTATTTACTTTTAGGGAGAGGGGAAGGGAGAAAGAGAGAGAGAGAAATATCAATGTGAAAGAGAAACATCAATGGGTTGCCTCTGGAACACCCCCAATTCAGACATGTGCCCTGACCCGGAATCAAACTGGCGACCTTTCTCTTTGCGGAACAACGTCCGATCAACTGAGCCACACCGGTCAGGGCCATCGTTTCTTGTTCATCTTCAACATCTAGCCCTTAAATTACTCATTTCTACCTTGGAGAGATCGTCACTGTAGGCTGGGCCTGCTTCCTGGGCTACCAAGTGTGCTCACCATCAGCTCTTCCTACACCAACCCAACTTCCACAGTCCATCCTGACACAACACTTTGGACACCTACTCAGCATCCCACAGTGAATGAGGTCCTGCCATTTTTTCCAGTCTAAACTACTTAGCATCATTTCCGAGTGAGTACTATTAGAAATTGTGGCTCCTTCCTACAGAGACTGCCCAGTTCGGTGCCCCACTTCTCGACCCTGAATATGCCACTCACATGCCCACCCCACTGGATGCCTGTCCTTTCTGGAAGGAATGCCCGCCCTCATCCCAAACCCCAGCTTCAGCCAAGTTCAAACCCTTGCTCGCTCGCTCGCTCGCCCACGCACTCTCCCTTTTCCCTATTACCATAAAGAAAACAGGCTTCTCGAGATTGTAAGATCCTTGAGGTCCAGGACTGCTCTGCACTGTTCTCGGATGGTCCCGAGCGGCCCACAGGGTGTGCAGAGGCTCGGGAGAGCCCGGCCATCACGCACGCTGCCCACTCCTCCTTTCCGAAGTGGACTCGAAGCCTCATCCCTGTCGGGATGGAACTGAATTCTCACCAGGATAAGAGTCCCACTGTGGCCAACTAGAAAACAAGGCCGGTTCTCCTGAGAGAATCCAGTGTCAGCAAGAAATCGTCATTTCCCTCCTTTTCCTGCTCTTGTCTGGTTACCACCCTCTCCATTCCCCCAACTGAAATGGACTTATAGTAAGTACTTCTCTCTCAATGACTGCCCCTCTTTTTTAAAGGGGTCTGTTTTATTTTTTTAGGGATTTTATTTATTCATTTTTAGACAGTGGGAGGGAGGGAGAAAGAGAGGGGGAGAAGTGCCAATGCATGAAAGACACATCAACTGGCTGCCTCTTGCACACCCTCAGCCAGGGACCTGGCCCAGACCCAGGCATGTGCCCTGACTGGGAACTGAACCAATGACCCCTAGGTTCATAGGCCGGTGCTCACCCCACTGAGCCGCACCAGCCAGGGCTCAACGACTGCTCTTAAAGAGTTAGATTTAAGCTAACTAACAATTTTTGAGCCCTCTCTCTATATCAGTTTCTATTCTAGAACCTTCCTGAGTCCTCTCACAATCCTAAACAATCCTCGTGAGATAGATATTGCCTCCCTTTTATGGCTGAATTCAACAGAGGCCAGGCAGTTACGTGAATCTCCCAGGCACGGCCAAGGGGAAGCCCAGGACTCAAACCCAGGAACACTGCTTCCCCCACTGTCTCACATGGAAAAAAGTCCTGCCTGAGGGAGCTCCTGTCAGAAGTGGCCTGCCTGCCCGCAGCCCTCGGCCCGCGGCGCGGTGCCGTAGGTGCTCAGCCACTGTAGCCGGGAAACTCCAGAGACACACACCGAATAGGCAGGAAGCCGAGCCCCGCTGCGGGCTCCCTTTCGCTCTGGACTGTCTGGGATTAGCCTCTTTATTTAAGGCAGGGTTTCTCCTTCCCAGTCGGCACTACTGACACTTTGGACTAGAACACTGTTTTGTTGGGGGCAGGGGGAGGGAGGCGGTCCTGTGTATTACACGGTACAGCTGTGTACATCCAGCCACGCGAGCTGTTTAGGAAGCAGCATCCTGCCCTCTCTCTACACAGGACATTCGGGAGCAACCTCCCACCGACCATGACAGCCAAAAACACCCCCAGACATTACGAAACATTCCCCGGGGGTGGGGGTGCAGAAAGCCCTGGGCTGAGAACCACCGGTTTAAGGGCCCAACCAGAAGACGTTACTTGCCTGTGGATTTCCATGATTTCCTCAGCGATCATTCGACCGATTTTTCCTGCCCCGGCCCTGGTTCCCCCCGGAATCCCTGGAACAGTGGGCTGGGCCCTCTTCGGGCCACCTACAACAAAGGAGTCTGAGCGTGAGCAGCGGAAAACGGAGGAAGAGATGCTTCCGTGTGTGGGGTTAGAATCAGTTCACCCCATGATCCACGGGGAGCTCAACCTCAGCGTTGTGCTGTGAGGGACAAAGAGACATAGCTTGACAGGAAAAGGCCCAAGTTTCCTTTCAGGTTCAGAGGCCCAAGCGGTGACTTGAAAATCTAATTCTCCTCCTGTGACCAACACACACTGAATCCCTCCAGACTGCATGGAGATGAGCCGCCTCCCTGCCCCCGAGGGCCTCCCAGTGTAGCGGGTGATGAGGATGAACGAGGCTGCAGCCCAGTGGGCTGAGTGGGACAGGCGAGTGTGAGGCACCCAGCTCTTCTGGGGCCAGGTGCAGCTTCCAGGGAGGTTTGGACTCTGAGCTGAGAGTTGGCAGGGGTGCGAGGGGTATAAATTAGTTCGGCAGAGAGGCAAGGCGGGGAACATTCCAGGCACACAGCCAGTGCGTGCAGGGGTACTGAGGCAGGGCAAAACTCGGGGCACTCCAGGGCACTCATCGTGAGTGACGATGATGAAGCAGTAGTGGCAGGTCACGGAGGGCCCCGGGAGCCATCATCTTTGACTCTGATTTGGTGATTAGGAAGTCCACTGCATGGAGAATTGACAGTGGAGGATGCGGGCGAGGGGGGGTGTGCAGAAGGAGACCAGGGTTAGAATAGTCTTATACTCCAGGCAACAGAGGGGAGGGGGAAGTAGTGGCAGTGGTGAAGGAGAGGTTTAGGAGACAAAAGAGACAGGGTGTCGTGTCTGGATGTAATGGGAGCGAGGTAGGAGTCACGGTTTCTGTGCTAACCAGGCGGAGGATCAGTTTGGATGCGCTGGGTTTCTGCAGCCTTTGGGACTCCAGGCAGACCCCACCAGGAGGCCGCTGGGGAGAGTGGAGAGAGGCGGGGGCGGAAGCCATGCAAGCAGACGTGGCCCGAGGAAGGAAGGGCGGTCAAGTGCAGAGAGTGGGGCCAGGACCCAGCCCTGGGAGGGGCCCCGCCAGGTAGCGCACACAGCCACTGCTGACAGACAGCCTCCGCCCACCTCAGGAACCAGAGCTGTCATAAAAGCGCACTTTGCATCACAGCCACCAGGCCACACAAAGGGAGGAAAAGCCTGAGAGGAGCAAGGAGTTTATTTCAGAGCTTCCAGGATCCAAGCAGCCTCAGGAAGGCAAGAACGAGTTCCCAGTGTTCCAGGCTCAACAGAGAGAGCGAGATGACCGCATTCTTAGTGCTTCTCCCCTTGAGGCCTCCCTCGTTCCATAGGAAATGGTGGCTGGGGACCCCAAGTACTGGGGGGGGGGACCTTTGGGTCACAGGCAGCTCCTCGAGGGCCAGCCCGGTGCTCAGCGGCGCATCGTTACCTTCTCCGGAGGGCAGGATGCTGTCCATGCTGTGGGGGGGCGCTGCGAGCTGCGGGAAGGTTGGGTCCCCGCCTTCCAGGACGTTGGCTCTGTGAACATCCCAGCAAGAAGGAAATGTGAGTCAGGCCTGCTCAGAGCCGTGCACCTCTCACCTTGGCCAAGGTGTCCGGTGTCCACTCTGGACCCGGACAGGCCAGAAAACGAAGGGTCTGTCTGGGTGGCTCAAAGGGTCTCCTCGCCGTCACAGCACAACGGACAGCATCCTGCTCTTGGCCTCACTGCCTGCCTGGGCCTTCCCAGTTCACACAGGACGCGGGCCGGCAGAGGTGGCGACTGCCCACTGCCACGGCCCCTCGCTCAGCTCTGACCTCGGAGGGATGGGGTGGGGGGCGGTTTGGACACCATTGGGAAGGTGATGTGGGCAGCAGGCCTGGCCAAAGTGAGGGTCTTTCCTTTCCCTGCTCTTAGCAAGTGGCCACTTTTGAGTGGCCATCCAGTTGCCAGTACTCAGGCCACCAGCCTGGTGGGCACGCACGGATAGCCCCCCATCCTCAGCCAGGCCGGGATGAGCTGAGGCCTGGTTGAGCCTTTCGCGGTGGCCACCCCTTCCCTTCACAGAGTACGGTGGGTGCCCGGGGTGCAGGGTCTGCAGGGTCTGCAGATCTCAAAGGCTGGCTGCTTTATCTGGAGGGAAATGTTGCCGTTTCTTGGGTCAAGGCCACGAGCTGGGGCCTGCATGGTATGAGCACTAAAACTTGTCCTTCGTTAGCAGCCCGTTTGGCTTCTGCCAATCCTGAGGCTTCATGGGACATTAGCAAGGTGGCAGTAAATGACGTGGTACTGACTGTTGCCTGTGCCCCCTCTTCCAAGTACAGGGCCTATAGGGCGTTTTGTTTGGAAGTGAAGGAGCTTCTGATATAGCAAATACACTTACAAAACAACAGTGTTGGTTGAGACAATGTATTCTACTTCCTTGGTCCAAGGGTTCATGAAACTGAACCATCGACTCCGCAGTGTGATGAAAGAACCATCTTTGATTTTAAACTTATAGCAGTTAGTTGTAATCTTTTCTCTCGTCTGTAAAACTGAAAATGCAAAGAAACCATGAACAACTTTGCTTCCTCAGATCCGGGTACAAACCAACCTAACCCTAAGTGCGTCAGGCTCTGATGCCATGGCCCTTTAATAAGCCGAGGGAGCTGGCAGTTCGGAGAACAGGTCCTTTCTGAGGGGCTGGTTCAGAGCCTTTGTTTCCTCTGGGAGTCCGTCGTTATCTTTCAGAGCGTGTGAACAGAAGGCGCCAGGCAATGACCGGCTGCGTTACACAGCTCCACCTGGAATCAGCTGGACGTGAGCACCCGCTAAGGGGCAGGTGCTCTGCAAAGGGGCCGCGTTCTTCTCCCGTCACACAGCCCAAGGGCAAGACAGCATTTTTAGGGCATCTGAGTCCAGAGAAGTCCTATTCAAACCTTCTCTTTTATGTAACAGACGCGTAATGAGCCTCTTTCACGTGTCAGGCCCTGCACAGAGGACACGGGATAAGACACCTGGCCTCAGGAGAGGGATGAGAGGCAGCTGTGCAAGGGAGGTGACTGGGGCCTTGAGGGATGGACACCAGTTTGCCAAAAGGAGGGAGGGACACGAGGCCTGTGCAGGAGTTGCGGGGCGCGGGGCGCGGGGAGGGGCAGTGAGATGGTCCCTGCGGCTGCGGCACACGGCCTCTGCGGGCAAGGATGGGGTGGGCAGCGGTGCTGAGGAGGCAGGTCGGGGCAGGAGGTGAAGGCCTTGAACGACTATGAAAGGCACTGAGCCTTCAGTGTGAAGGCAGGTGGGTTTCTACTGACCATGTGGTGTTACCAGGGTTAACTATGGAAGACGGAAGATGGACGGGGGCAGAAGGCAGACGGCGACGGCCTGCCAGGAGTCTACCACGATCACAAGGTGGGCACAAGGGCCTGAACCGGGACACTGGAAATGGCAAAAGGGTCCCCTTCGGACATTCACGTCTGAGGTGAATGAGCTGGTCTGGTGGATGATGAAGTAAAGGACGGGGTCAACGTGGGGCCGTGCCATCAATCAAGAGGCAAATACAGGCAGCAGTGCAGGATTTTATGTATTTTTAAAGATTTTATTTATTTTTTGACAGAGGGGAGTGGAGGGAGAAAGAGTGGGAGAGAAGCATCAATGTGTGGTTGCCTCTTGTAGGTCCCCTACTGGGGGCCTGGCCTGCAACCCAGTCATGTGCCCGGACTGGGAACTGAACCAGTGACCCTTTGGTTTGCAGGCTGGCACTCAATCCACTGAGCCACACCAGCCAGGGCAGCAGTGCGGGACTTCATGAAAAAGAATTAGAACTGTTTGGGCCCTACTAATCTTCATGGGGTCTGGATCAATCCTCTGGGTAACAGATGCCTTCCAGAAATTAACCTGGCACGTGTACAGAAAGCTGCTGGGTACTAGGGGCGGGTTATCTGTAAGGGGATGAGCAGGACCCGGGAGCCTCGGCTTCCTCCCCACACAGATATTTTGGCCCAGGCTGAGACTCCCAGGCTGGCTGACTCCCACACCCTTGGGGGCAGGTTTCTCTGGGACAGTGTGTGGACGAGTCTAGAAGCAGGGGGGCATTTTAAGCTCGCGATCCTTCGCACAGCCACGCTTACCTTGCCTATGACATTCTGCGAGGTGTCCTATGTCATCTTGGTGAAAATATTCGTAACACGATGTGCCTAGAAGTTCTTGTGGTAAATACGCCAAAATAGCCGTTGCCCTAGGAGGAAATATTAAAAGAAAAAGAAAAAGAAAAAGCCACTCAGACAATAGCACCTCTGCAGTGGGTGGCCCAGCCACAGCCACGGAGAACAAGGTACAGGCTGGGTGGCTGCTCGGAGGGCTTGCTGCGTGGAGATTTCATGTATTTAATTCACGTAACTGAATGACACCAAGGTTATGAAAACAGAGGGAAAGGAAGCAAAGAGGCCTTTCAAAGGGGCTGTTATAACAAGAAATCGAATTTGGGGAGGTTTAAAAATGGTAACTCCATTAGTGAGATAAAAATGTGGTTGGACCCTAAGCCCCAGGGCAGAAGTTCTCCACGCTACTGCTGGCTTTTGTCAGGGGAGCTGAACACCAGAAGCTCCAGCAGCAGGAGCCACAAGGGCCTTGGGGGACAGCTGTCTCCTTTCCCAGCATTCAGTGGCTTTCGAGCTGCCAGAAAAATTATTAGCCTGTGAATACTCTTAACGGGCAGCAGAGAGCAGTGGGAGGCCCGGGATCTCTGGGTCGACCGCCAGTCAGGGTGAGCCCTGCAGGAAGCCAGGCTTCAGGCGGGGCCTTGGTCCCTCAGCCACGAAAGACGGGGCTGGACCAGACCCGTGCTGTCCAGCAGGACTCTCTGTGACCACGGCAATGTCCGGTATCTGCGCCATTAGCCTCATGTGCCTGCCGAGTACTTGAAAAGTGGCTGGTGAGCCTGAGGAATTTCATTGTTCATTTTATTTAATTTTAATTGATTAGATTAAAACTTGAATAGCCATATGAGATTACTAATCGCCTCAGGACCACACACTGTTCCCGGGGCCTGGGTTCCAGAACCCAATCACAGGAGTGGTCCTCAAACAGTCCACAGGTGCTATGCCTACCATTTCTCTTTTGGCCACAGACACCAAACCACCCTACTAAGTGCATGTGGTTTTCTACATGTCAAGGAATGACAGAGAAAAATCTGTGTTTATGATATTCTGATGACAATTCTCATTTTTCAGCAGAGATCTCCACCACTTCCTCCTCTCTGTTTATTCTTAGGAAAGACAGCAGATTGCCCAGTTGTCTCTGCTTTGCTCAGGGTTGAAAATCTTCCATTACTGTTCAAGAGTACTGTGCAGACACTTACCTCTGGTCTACAAAGACGAACTTGCCATCTATGGCGTGCCGAGAAACGTACTCCATAGATTTCACCCTAATCTCCCCGTTCACCGGCTGTGGAACCACGTGAGAGTGCAGCCGTCCTATCGCAACGAGGCAGCTGAGGTTACACCCCTCGTTGTCCGGTTCATTGTCTTCATCCAGCCCCATCTTTGTGGGCGGCCAGCTTTTCAAATAGCCTGTGCTGTGTATTGTGCAGAAGCTTTTTCGATCTGCTAGAAAGCAAAGTCCGTGGTGAGTGTCAGTGTGGCTTTGGGGTGAGGAGGTGTGGGAGCCTATGGTGGCAGGAATGTCAGGAGGAAGTCCAATAATTAAAAAAAAGGCCTTACTCTCCAAAAGTGAGCATCCAATGAGAAAGGAAGACAGAACAATAACTCCCATGCAGTGTCATGTGTGCTTAGTAGACGCTGGTTAAACCACGGGAGGAGCATCTACGTCCACCTGGGGAAAGGCAGGCAGCCCAGAAGAACACGGTGGGTGCAGAGAAAGAAGGATGAACACTGGCTATGGGACTAGGACGTGCAAAGGCTGAGGATGTACAAAGGCACAGAAGTGTATCCTGTACAAGAAACGGCAGAGCTCTGGTTGAAGTGGAGAGGAGCAGGGGCGGAGGCGGGGGTTGGGGGGAGAGTTGGAAAGGCAGGTTGGGGGCAAACTATAGGGGCCTTGGGTTCTTTGCTAATGAACGATCACACAGCCAGAGGCAAGGAGGCCTGTGGCCTGGCCACGCTGGGAGGAGGAGGCAGGCAGGACACAGGAGAAGCTTCTGAGAATTCTTGGGAGTTGGTGTGAATATCCAAAAATTTGGCATGAACGAAAGCAAATGAAGACAACTCCAATTTTTTTGGATTGAGTGGTTGCTGGAATAAGTCACTGACTCAGGGCAGAGAGTCATGTGTCAGACAGGAAAGGAAGGTTTCACTCTGGGACACTGTTAAGTGTGGAGCACTTTTGGGTTTTGACAATAGAGAAATCCTTGTGGAGGGCTTTACAAGCATTGAGTCTGTGCTGTTTGTTGGGAACGGTGGAAAACAAATCATGTTAATAGGAACTGTCCCAGGGTCTCAAATAGGAAACTGATCAGAAGATATGCTTTTAAAAAGATCATTCCAGCTGCTGTGTGGAGAGATGGCAAACGTGAGGAGCCCGCTTTGCAAAGACGGGGGGAGGGCTGAGCGTAGCCACAGTCCAATGATAGTGGTGAACATGGAGGTGGATAAACACGTAACTTCTGCAAAAGGAATTTGCTGTGGCAAGATTTCATGACTGGGGGTGGGGGGTGAAGTGGGGTGAGGGGGCCTTGCAGGCTTCTAGTATGTGCAATTCGATGGGTGGCAGATCACATTTTGGTTTAGTATTTGTTCCTGCTGCCATTTATTTACACTAAGGAGAAGATCAGGTGGTTGCTTTTACATTTACCATGTTTGAGATGCCCTTGAGATATCTAAGGGGGCAGATTTAATAAGCAGTTAATTCATGGGTCTGGAGGTCAAAAGAGAAGTCTGGGCTCGAAATATAAACTTGGATGTTACTGAAATATAAATGGTGTTGAAAGCTAAGGGAGTAGACGGTGCCGCCTATGGAGAGAGACAGAAAAAGAGAAGGCGGCCAGGACAGAAGATGGGCCAGCGAAGGGAACCAGGAAGCGCGCCCAGAGCGACCAAGGGTGGGAGAGACGAGGAGTATGTGGTTTCACAGAATTCTAGAGAAGAGGAAGATGGAGGGAAAAATGAAAAGGGACCATTGCATTTAGCACGGAGGTGACTGGTGAATTTAGCAAAAGTAATTTTGGTGGGTTGCTGGGTTGCTCAGGAGGCAGTTAGAATAGTGGATGGCAGTGTTGTTTCCCAACCAATCCCGGACAATTTAAAGAAAGGAAGCCTTCCCACGAATCTCGGTCATCATGGCAACACGTCAGGCTTCCCAGCATCCCCTGCTCCTGACTGTCCTATGTTGTCAGCGGGGGTGGGGGAGTGGCAGGTAGCGGGGTCCCCACCGCAGTCCCGGAAGCTGCCGCTCTGGCTGGCTGGCGAAAACTGGCCAACACCCTGCTGAGGGCACCAGTGCAGCAGCCAAGCTTCCCTGTAATGGGCCTTTACAGATCTGTGACATGGTTACCTTTTTTCTTTGAGCAGGTGGAGGGGAAATCCTTGTCTTCAACCTTTACTGAAGGCCTGTTACACTTCATCCTACAGAAGAAAGAACGTCGTGCTCCAGAACATAACCGAGATGGCCCAGGGGTTATATCTGTTTTAACTGGAAGTCCAGCTGCAAATCAATACACAAAACGTGATAAACTGAGGGTAATATCTGTCGGGTTGGGGAGTGTGACCTTGAAGAAAGCCTCTTCTTTCCTGCCTCAAAGTTCTGTAACAATGACCTGGGAATAACATTTCTCCTCAGTCTAGGCCTTAAAAGATGCAGCAGGGAGAGGTGTGTTGCCCGGACATGTTTCCAGACCATGGAGAACGCAGCCACTGGGTGAGTGGCCTGTGTGCCCCCGGGGGAGAGAAGGAAATAAGCTCAGGGCTCCTGTGCAGCGGAGTTTGCAGCTGGGAAGGGGAAATGGAAGTTCACCACAAAAACATTAAAAGCAACAGGGGGCGATGTGTGATTTGTGCCAAACGAATGGCAGAAACCGCCTGTGCTTCTCAGAGGAGGAAGAACTGGGGCCGGGCCTGGAAGGATGGGCAAGATGTCGATACAGAAATGGAAAGGATGAACCAGAGCATCCTTAAACTCTCAGCCCAGGGTCCTGGACCGAACTTTAGGTCTGTGTTGCCCAGTTCAGGAGCCACTCCCTACGGGCAGCCGCTGAACGCCTGAAATGTAGTTATTCTGACTGGAGCGTGTGGTATGAAATGAACACTCACAGGATTCCAAGGACTTAGTACAAGAAAAAGTAAAAGGTCTCATTTTGGAATTACTCGGTTAAATAAAATATAGTACTAAAATTAGCTTTACACTTACTTTTACTGTTTTTAATGTGGCTATCAGAGTTTTAAATCACAAACGTGGCTCCTATTTGCGGTTTGCATTACGTTTGCACTGGACTGTGCTGTGTGGAACCAACTGAATTAGCGTCCGTGGACGACAGGCACTGCCGTGACCCTGACAGACACACTGGCTGCTGTCGCTGCAGCGCACATCCGGGGGCCGCCCTGCTGCCCCCCTGACAGCGACCACCATCGGCACAGGCTGTTTGCCCAGGGCTCCTCCTGGGCCTCCCCCTGCAGCCTGCCTCCCACACTGCCACCTCAGGGGTCTTCCCAGACTGCCAATCCGGGCCTGTCCCACCGGGCTCAGAGCCCTCACTGTGTCCCCATGGACGAAAAGGTCTCCATATTCCAGCCTCCCGCTCCCTTGGAGGTTTTGTTCCAGTAGCACCAAACAGGCCACAGAGCGGGGGCCACACCGCTGCTCCCACCCACAGATCATTGCCTCAGCTCTGTTCCTCTCTTCCTCACCCGGCAAACATCGATTCATCTTTTCAAATCCACCTTGGCTGTCGCCTACTCAATGAGGCCTCTCCCTGTGCCCCCACGAGAATGAATCATTCGTTCTCTATGGCTGCACCTATTATGCTACACCAGGGAGCTGTCTCCTGGTCTCCATGACTACATGGTAAGGGCTTTATAGGTAGGGACCAACCACCATTCATCTTTTTCTCCTTAGGTCACTAAACTGTTGGAAGGGCCAGACTACCGAGGACAACGGGTATGGGAACTGCATTGTACTTTTAGGAAAAAGAGGAGTGCCTTACTGAAAAGCATGGTTTAAAGGAGATTCCTTTGCTGGTATTTCCCTCCAGGAATTAAAACGGGAGCTGGGAAACAGGAAACTAGTTAGACCATGTCTGCACTGGGCCAAGGTGAATACCAACCTTGAGACTGTGTTTAGATGTGCCAGGAACTGTCCCACGTGCTTTGTGTATATTAACATGTTCGATCCTCACAAAACCAAATGGAATAGCTACTATTTTGCACATAGGAAGGCTCAGGCACAGAGAGGTTAAGTAACTTGCTCAAGGTCACACAGCTGGTCAGTGGTGAGGTCAGGAAGTGAGCCCAGCAATCTGACTCCAGAGCCCGCGCGCCTGACCGCTGTCGCGCACGGCCTCCGGAGGGACGAAAGGAGAAGAGACCGACAGGGGCCGCGCACAGGAGGCCCAGGGGAGGGGCAGGACAGGAAGCTGGGGGGAGGTCCACGGTGCTTCCACTGCTCCAAGGAGGAGGCCAGGAGGGAAGGTGATACAATGAGGAACCGGTTCCGTCAAAGAAATGCCATATCTATATTTTAAGTTTTCTTACTTTTGTGAGGCTGCAAGGGTGCACCTCAGATAAACAGAGATGATTTCTTTTTCAGGGGAAACAAATCAAACTTGTGTGAGCCCTTTAAACTTAGGAGTATACAACAAGGAATTTTGGTTCTGAAAAAAAAAAAAGACTAAAAATCAGAAAGAATCAAATCAAAGTAGCTTTTTTTCCTCTCAATGGATTTGGACACTGAGGTTTTTTTCTTTATGTGAAACAACAACAACAACAAAAACAAAGACAAAAACAAAAGAATGTACACAATTCCACTTAGCCAAAGACAGCACCTGCGGCCTGACACAGGGCAGAGAGGAAGGGACCCAGAGGCTGAGACCACAGCGCGCAGCCTGCAGTCTCTGCTCTGCACTCAGGTCTGAGCAGGGTCCCGAGGAAGCAGCGGCCTCTCTGTACTCACTTTTTGCATCTATGAGTCGCTCCCGGGGTGCCGTGTCGGAGGAGGAGAGCTGCTCCTTGACTTTGGCAATGTCTTTAGGATGTAGGTAGTCAAACAAGCTCTGACCGATCAGATCATTCTGTGGGGATGAACCATCGAAATGACAAGTCAACAGCACGCAGAGCATGAATCATCTAAGTGCTTTGTCTATATGTTGTATTTTAAGCGTGACAACTGCAAAGACTTCATATGTGGACATGTACACGCATGCAATCACTTCGCCTAGACATGGACACAATGAACGAGGCACCGGGAGTTTGCCTGTGATAGCACATGAGGGAAGGGGCTCGACTCAGTAAGTAGTTCAGGCTGCCCAGAGGCGAGGCTCCTTTGGCTGTGTGTGTGCCTGTTCATTTCTGATGCCCTCGGGGTCCCTTCTGAGACCCCAGTGGGTGGATGGTTGGCAAGGGCTCTGCATCGAGCCCCTTTAAGCCTCCATACTCTATCCTGTTAGCAGAGACAATAAACACTTCCTCTATGACTTTCTTGTAAGACTGGATGAATAAGACACTCGGAAAACACTACCTTTACATTAATTCTAATGCACACAAGTGCTATTGTGACACTAATTCCTCTGCCTTCTCCAGTGTTCATGCAACCACCAGCATGCAATGAGTGAAGGGATGAATGAGGGGTGGACACAGAGTATAAACTCTAGGGACATAACAGGTGAAAAGCTGCGCTCCAGGAGCTCTCCTAAATGTCTATCTTGTTTGATCCGACTGACGTTACAGGGCATGGACTGTCTCAGTCGGGCTTAGAGGCAGCTGAGATTCCACGGAGCTAGTGGTCACTGCAAGCACAGCGTCACGGGGGCGCCCGCCCCTTCTGTTCATTGGCTCGGCATTATCTGCCTACCTTCCTCCCTTGCCCTCCTCACTCCCCACCCCTCCCCCTAGTTGTAGGGTACTGATTTTGCAGCAATAACAAAGTTAAAGAGCTGCTGCTGCTGCTGAGATCAGAGCCAAACCTTTCAAATGGCGGAAACATGGCACATACATAGATTGAAAGATTTTCCTAAGTTTAACTTCATTTCCCTGTTAACGTGTAGAGAACTCTCTGGAGGAGGGACTGGTGGGAGACAACAGACGCACTGCACGGGTGACTGGGGCACGTGACTGCTCTGACAGGGCGGCCCCTGCGGCTGCGGCGCGGCGGCACCACTGGTGGGAGCAATACCTGGCTGTAGTTGAGGATCTTGAAGACAGACTCTGAGACAAAGAGTATCTTCCCTCGGTCACATCCTACGACAAACAAAAATCCATCTGCTGCCTAATCAGGAGAAATGGATAATCAATTTATCACACTTCAAGGAACATGACTGCAATCACTCTGACAGCAAGCAAGGGCTGGTGTCTAAGTACCCAAAGCGCAGGGCTGCTCTCTCGGCGGTTTCACGGGCGTCCTGAGAATAGGGCACTCACAACAGATGCCTTGTGAGAAAAGTAGGATTCTGTCCAAGGCAGATCTATGTATCTACATCTATGATCTGATCATTACAGGGGCAAGTCCAATTACGTCCATTTTATTTCAGAGCAGAATTTAGCTTAAGACATTTCCTTAGCACTGAAGTCCAGAGAAGTTGTATTTTATTGCTCCGATTAGAACAACTGTATGTACAGTCCTAGAATCTGCGATGAGAGGAAAACTGTAAGATCAGAATCCCCTCCCCAACACCTCGGCTGCCACCCTGAACACCTGCATTCTCAGGGAGCGCTAGGACAGGGTCCTCAGCATTTGGAGCAGTGTTTTTGTTGTGTTTTATATTTTTGAAGATTTAATTTATTTATTTTTAGACAGAGGGGAAGGGAGGGAGAAAGAGAGAGAGAAACATCAATGCCTCTCGTGCTCCCCCTGCTGGGAACCTGGCCTGCAACCCAGGCATGTGCCCTGACTGGGAACCGAACCAGCGACTCCCTGGTTCCCAGGCCAGCGTCTCAATCTACTGAGCCACACCAGCCAGGGCTGGAGCAGCGTCTTCTTGTTTTGTTTAATGCTGATCGTCTGGGTAGGGCTGGATAGCTGGTTTTGTTTTACCTGCTACTTCTGCCCTAAACTGATTCTAGTGTACACAGGGCTGAAAGCTACTGCTCTCAAATATTATCCTTTGACCCAGGGTGAGGCTGTTTGTTCCTAAGTGAGGTAAGAAAAGAAAAACAAAAATTTCACCTTAGATTCTTCTTACTTCCCCTTCTCTTTATTTTTTATTATTATTTTTCAAGATTTTATTTCTTTACTTTTAAAGAGGGGAAGGCAGGGAGAGAGGGAGAAAAACATCAGTGTGTGGTTCCTTCTCTCGAGCGCCCTACTGGGGACCAGGCCTGGAACCCAGGCATGTGCCCTGACTGGGAATCAAACCAGCAACCCTTTGGTTCATAGGCTGGTGCTCGATCCACTTAGCCATGCCAGCCAGGGCACTCTTTACTTTAAATACAAGTAAAAAACTAAAGTGCCAGATAAAGACAGATGTAGAGACAGAGCAGCGTTTGTTAGAGAGACTGAGCAGATAACCGCCAAAGCTCTAGTATTTGTCTCCGTTTGCGTGATTCTTAGCCATGGAGGCCCAGCTTTGCAGATGGACAACCGCTCGACCCCTGCCGGCGGAATCCTAGTGACCGGGAACCCCCCTCCCCAAGTCTGTCATGCACTCACTCCTTCCTCGGCTCCTGCAGTTCTAATACACAGAGGGGCACTATCTTGCTTTATTCACTAGCACTCAGTCTGCTGTTTGGAAAAATGGAGAAACTTGATTCTCTTTTTCACAGAAAGGCCCTTGGGATATAGTTTAATTCAAAGAACTTGGGAATGAATTCATGTGCCAGGAGGTTAAGGATCGGCGCATGCACCTGTGCTGGGGTAAAAGGAGTGAGAGAAGCTGGTGGGCCATCCAGTGAGGCAGGGGCTAGAAGCAATCCCTTCCTAAGTTAGGCCTCGAAGCTGGTCCAGGGGCAAGGAATGACAGTGAGGGGGAAGCGACTTTCCAAGCACCATCTGCTGGAAGCCTCATTCTGTCAGAAAGGAGGATATTAATAACTTCCTCATTTGCCTTGCAGACAATCTTATATCCCACAAGAGAAGTATTTTGAGGCCTTTCATTGATGAAGTGGTGAGGTACAAAAGGTTCCCAGGAAGAAGGTGACTGTGACATCCTGACATGTGGGTGCAGACAGGCCTGAACAGACTACATGAGCCAAGTAGAGTCCAACCCAGCCAAGGTCTCCAAAGGCCAGTGGGTACAGCCAGTGCAGGGCAGGCCCAGGTGCTCGGACCTGCTTCCCTGGGCAGATGGACGCCATCAGGGCAAGCAGCAGGGGCTGCGGGAACAACTGAAGAGCAGAGGTGTGAGGTGTGAGGACACCATGAGTACTGTGGGGACACCAGAAAACCAGGGGCTGGCTTGCTCTTGGGGAGGACGGTGTTTGTAAATAACCCAGAGCCTGGGCGGTCTGCCTGCTTTTCAAACTGTGGGGAAGCGGAGTATCTAGACACTACACACTGATCAGGTGGCCCGCGCCTGACACGCTGTTCACGAAAGATCTTCTAACGGCACTTAGTAAAGCAGGCAATTAGTCAGATTTGCATTGGTGAGGAAAAGTGGAAGCAACAGTTCCTGCTGCCAGTCTGTTCGGCCCTCGCCTGCTGTTGAGACAAATTCCTGGGAACTGGGTACCTGGAACTGGCGAGGGACTGGGCGGGACTTCGCAGCCACTGCAGTGTGCCGTGGAGGAAAGAAAAGTGTCGTCGGGGAAGACGGACCACCACTGGGGGTGTGTGGAACAGGAGCGGGGGAGGTGGGCCTACGATGGAGTATTTAGCTGGAATAGTATGGAAATCCTTGTTATACAGCCTACTAACTGTGAGCATATGATAAGAAATTAAAATTACTAAGTGTTTGCCACTATAAAAGGCGCTTTATATATTTAGATATATAAAACAATTTCTAAACTTTTCCCCTTAAAAACATCAAATTACCAGTACTGGTATGGCAATCAAGACCAGCTACATAATTTATAGGTGCTGTACAAAATGAAAAGGCAGGGACTCTCATACAAAAACTTGTGATTTTCAAGGTGAGAGCATTACAAACAAGCACTGGGCCCTGTGTGACCGCACAGGCCACACGTCCATGATGCTGGCCCTGCTGGTTTCTCTAGAGATGCAGCAGACATAGCTTATAGCTGCAACTTCTGAGAACAAGGACATCTGTTCGGAAAGGGGTGGAGAGGTGAGGGCAGAGGTGGGTCCGAATAACTGTGCCCCAGGAGTGGCAGCCAACAGGTCATCACTAATTTGCTGGGAAGCCTTGGCCCCGCCCTAGCGTGCTGAGCAGTGAACATGCTAGGAACATGCCAGGATGTTCCTAGAATAGTGCCATGCTTATACAGTAAGTAATCAAAACTGTTTGCTGAATTAGCGAATGAATGAAAATGAAAGACACAGAGGGTATGCCTAGCAGATCTACAAGTCACATGAAGCCTCGAGGGATTGCTAATGACAAGCTAGAATGTGGGTGGGACCATCCAAGGAATATGTTTTGGCAGAGATAAAAGAAGTTAAAAAAAATGAACGGCATCTATCCAAGCTGGCAAAGACCCGGCCTAACAACAGGTATGTACAAGTGCGCTGGGGAGGAGGGGCAGTACTGCAGCTGCCCAAACGGTGGCACCAAGATGGCTTCTGTGGCAAGGGAAGCGCCAAGCAGACCACAGGTGAAGTTCTGCTTGGGCTTGTGAGAGCCACGTCTAGGGGGAAATCCAGCAAACGGATGTGGCTCTGGAGAGTGTGCGTGACAAAGGCTGCCGGGGCCAGGCCTGAACCCCGTCTCTCTCTTGCTCGCCCGCGTCTGCTGCGGAGGCTGGGGAATCCAGGCCCGGCTCTGCAACCTGCCCTGCCCTGCCCCTGGGGGAGACCAGGCGCATCTTCTCCACAAGCTGACGTCTACTGCTGGGCTTCCAGGAAGCGGGCGCATCCTTTCCTGATGTAAGGGCCACTGGCCCACAGCCAGCCCTGCCCTGTTTTCCCCGGCACAGCCATCTTGCTGCACGGAGGAAGCGGCTGCACTGCTAGGCCAGCATGGTTGTGTGTGAAGACCAAGAGCCTGGCTCCTGCTGACCTCACGGGGGCGCCGCCCTGACCCCCCACTGCCGACCCCAGGACCAGCCAGCCATACGTGAGGAACAAAACCCAATTGGTTACAATGTTATCAGCGGTGTTTCCTGTGCTGTGCTTTACATCCCCATGACTATTTTTTAAGTAGCTATCAATGGTACGGTGCCAGCTGGGCACTGGAAATATCAGGGAGGACATTCAGTAAAGTATATGATTGGCTGACCTCTGTGCATACACATGAAACTAATACGAAAAAATACTTCATGTTAACTAATTTAAAATTTTTTAATTAAAAAATGAAAAATAAAAAAACCCTGTTGTTCATCATGTCTTCTGTTCCTTGCAGTTGAAAGCTTTCCAATTAATCCAGCACATCATGCGGGGAAGGGCAGAGAGCCCTGGAGTGAGCATAGGCAGGAGGGGGAGGGGAGCCGGGCGGGGCGGGAAAGTACTGAGACCAAGGTCCACTCAAACTAACGCCTGCTTTGCGAACGTCTGCTCAAAGAAGGGAGCCAAGATTCCGGAGTGGCCTCGGCCAACGACTCAACCTGGACTGTGGGGGGCCTTTCAGTTATGTTTTTTTGTTTTTCTTCTTCTAGTTCTTGCAAGAGGACGTGTTTTTTTGAACTCCATTTCTTTCCCTTCAGTGGGCACTCACTCTGCCGGGAACGTGCCTGAGAGCCCTGCACAGACCTAACCAGCCGGCCGGGCTCCGTGGGGCTGCCTCGGCGGCCTGGCTGTGGAGACCGGCACGAGGAGGGAAGAGCTGCAGTCGAGCAGGGGAAGGCGCCGCCTCTTCCATTTATTTTCCTCGCTGGATCATGAAGTCCCTGGAAGTTCTGTTATTTTGAAGGGATTTTGGTATAAAGATTTCAGTGGGTGTTTTTGTGCTAGTGGTTAAGTGAGAATCAGAGAAATTCTCAATTGTTCTCGGTTTCGGTCCCTTTCTAAAACCTCCCTGTAGGAGTGTGATTCTTAACTACCGCCTATTTTTAACAAAATCCTGCCTCTTCTAATTTAAAGTCACAGAAGCACAGACCTCTAACTTTCGCCTAAGCAAGGGCAGAAGAGGAGGGGGAAGGTCTCGGGAAGGAATGTGAGGCCTGTCCACACAGTAGGACAAAGAGGAAGTGGGCCTAAGAAAAGTTCAGTGTTGGGACATCAAATTCCCACATGCTGGTACCGAACTCTGGCACTTGTAAAAATAAATATTGCGTAAAATAATCCCATAATTGCAACATACCCTGAGAATGAGGTGTTTCAATTCATCGTCTGACAGAAAGGTTGGTTTGTAGTTTGCTTCTGTGTATGGATTGGTGGCACCTTGGGAGGAAAAAGAAGAAGAGTTGGCTCCTTTACATTTGGATGATGGCTCGGCCCACTCCAGCCTAGTCCCCACCGCCGGGGACTGGCACTCTGCCTTCTTTTTCTTTAACTAGGACAAGGTAAGACCCGGTTCTGAACAAAATCCTATAATGCCCGAGAGAATTGCACGGAAAAGGGAACACTGTTGCCCACTGGAGAATTAACAGGCCTGCCTTTGTCACTGTGGGAGACACCAAGAGCAAACAGAAGGAAGTTACAAAGCTGCTTCGAAGACAGAGGGCTGCTCCAGAAGCAAACCAGAGAGGCTAGCAGCCCCTGAAATCACCAGTCCTTGGTGATTGTCCTTGGGCGATCGCCCAGCCTGCTGGGCCCTGAGTGAACGCACTGCAGAAGGCATTTAGCGTGAGTCCCCCTCCATCAGTGGTGAGTTAAATGAGCCTGGCAACCCAGAGAAACGCATTGCCTCAGAAAATGCAACTCTAGCTCCTGGGACTGAAATGGAGCAAGACCTCTGTTTAAATGGCTGTCAACCCGGCATTGTTCAGAAGCGCACTAACTTATTACAGAAAAATGCCAGCAGTACACGACTTGGAATCTGCAGAATGGTTAGGAGAAGAGTGGAGAAATAGAATGAGATGGGCTCATAACAGTTCACAGTGCCACAGGGAAGGGGGCAAGCCGAACGCATCTGTGACTTTCAGAGCAACTAGCAAGGGGAAGATGGTGGGTCCGCACCCCTGCTGTTCATGATAACTCAGGACCTGCCACTCTTTTCCTTCCAGTTTAATGGAAATTGTTTTATAGTAATTCAGCCTTACCGTTTTAGCTAACATGAATTTTTAAATGCCTTCTCCAAGCACAGGATACAACAATTATATTTTTGAGCAGTGATCAAAAGTCAGACAAAACAAACTACTTCTTATTTCTGGTGGCTTTGTGGAAATAAAAAGATGCAGTTCTCTTACCACACAGCTCAGAGATCTGACTGAGCACCCACTTTCCAATTTCCTCAAATAGTTCGAGACGAGCTATGGAAAATTCCAGGAACAGCAATCACTAAAATGCCTGATATGTCTCAGATTTCTCTCGTGGTTTGGATAAGTCACTTCCACATCTCCGCCTCGGTTTTCTCAACCTCGCCACACTCAGAAGAAAAACACCGCCTCCCTCACACAGGGCCTCGCCAGCTTGGGAAAATTCCAGGAAGACGAGTCTGGCGGTGTTCGCTCCTGCCCATAAGGACGCGGCAAGGACTGCGGGCCAGGGGCTGCCTTTGCAAAGAACCAGGACAGGTCATCCTCTTAGGCACTGACACCGACTTTCTGGTCACCCAGTGTGCCTGCATTTCTGACGTTCATCACAAATGGGTGGGGGCCAGGCCCACACAGCAGAGAGACGGCGCGTCAGCAGGACTGATTACACGCATGCGCAGAGACACACGCACAAGCCCTCGACCCTCCGGGGGCGCAGCGCTGCAAGACTGTCTTGACACTCATGTAGGCTCAATAATCACTTTATTTGGCATTGTTTCTAGTGCTGAAAGTTACAGGCATATTACTCAAGGCCACACATTTGCAAGTTATAAACACTGCCCTCAGGGACTTAGGAACATTCTAGGCAAGGGTGACACATTTGTGAGCAAGGACACCAAGGACAGTAAAACCTGGGATCTCACCTCGTAGTGTTTTCATGTGCTGAACGGCCATCCGGAGCACAGTAAGTTTGTCTAGTTTCCGGGACATTGCGTTGCACGTTGGGACCAAGGAAGCCAATTCATCAATAAAACTGTTCATTTTGTCCCGACGCCTTTTTTCAATTTGACTGTGAGCTTCCCTGAACAACAATATGAAAAATAAATTCCATAAAATGTAACCCAGCACCAAGGAAACAATGGCAAAAATAAGTTATACCCATTCTCAACAGTCATCTGAAGAGGCAAATCTAGAATTTGTAGATTATTTTAAACTAGACTTTTCTACTCAAGTCACCCAAAAAGTGGCTTCACTGCCAGGTCAGTATTAGTTACTTTTTAAACTTTTGTTTTAATTAAAATTAAAATTAAATTAGCCTTAAAATTAAGGAGAAATGTTACAAAAACTGTCTTTTCAGAGTAAACTGTATTGTTAACTTCTCATTTCTTTTTCTCTCAGCCTCTGTAAAGCTGGGTTTTAAGGGGGGGGGGGCAGAAGACAAAAGGAGGGAGGTGGAGCTTTCACAGAGCAAAACATCCAGAACGGCCCCATGGTCCTCTGTGAGCTGTCTCTGAGCTTTGCGAGGGGCCTGCTGTGTGGCCTGCTGGAGCCACACCGACTGAGTCGCCAGGTAGCCACCGCTGCCATCCTTGGCTCAAACATGACCCCACATGGACACAGCAGGTGCAGCATCTGCCCCCAGAACTTCCTCCAAAGACTGTCACGTTCCTGCCCCCGGGGAGCTGCTGCCCACTGAGGCAGCCTGCCGCTTCCACCAGCACACACCCTCCCTGACTGGTTCACACCTGCCATTTGTGACTGTCCCCCTAAAGAGGTGCATCCATGGTGCAAATGTAGTTTGCTGCCGCTGCCATAGCAACAGAACCCTGAGAGCCTCTGCCAAGGCAGGTCTGCTAAACGAAGGCTAAAGCCTCAGGTCAACCAAAGCCTGCAGCCCTTTGTTCTGGGTCCTGACATAGCCCCACAGCAGGAGGGCTGAGGACCCATGTGGAAAGGGATTGGCAAGTGTGGTTGAGGGAGGAAGGATCAAGTCAGAGAATCTATTTAATGGAGTGGGGCATTTCCTCTGTCGGGCCCTCGGCTGCAATTCTCAGAGCAATGAGGGCCCCTGCAGGGCGAGGTGCAGCCCAGGAGCCGGATCACTGAGCCAGGTCTCCTCTGGGGGCCCTAGAGTCAGGATGGAATACATAGACTGGGGCATCCTTAGCCGTGACTGATTTTCTGCTCCCTCCAGAGTCCTCTTCTAATGACACATGCTTAGACAACAAAGAGCGTGGGCCAGCACAGCCCAGAGAGAGTGAGGGGCAGAAGGCCACCACACCCAGCCACGGCACACTGCCCCATTCTTTATTCACTATGGATATGGCAGTGTCAGAAGAACTGCTGGATGGCCCCAGATGCACAGAGCCCCCTGGCTGCACTCTGAGACCCCAGGACCCGGTCAGTTCACACATAGAACGAGGGCCCCGCCTTACCTTGCATTTTTTATCCTCCCTTGGTGCTCTGTGTATTCTAACCTAGAAATAAAAAAGCAAAAGATGAAAACAGTCGCCTGGAGAGTATAACTAATGGCAAAGTTATACATCTTTGCTTTCTTCTCTATTTAATTAATTTCCCTGTTTAACCCCTGTCGTCTCTCCACAAACACATGATGTTGGTTGTTAGCCAAATTGGGGGTTGGAGGGAGACAATCTTGAGCCCACAGGCTCAGAGCCTCCTTGCTTATCCCCCACCCAGGACACGGGTGGAATGTGCACCCAGTAACAGAATGAGCAATTATGCAAGGAAATGGCTATAAGGACATTGAAGTTCAAATAACTTGATTTGTGGTACCTTCCATGAGGGTCATCTTTGTCTGTGTCCATGCTTTCCCTGAAAAAACAAAACAAAACAAAGCAAGAGAACATGACTATCAAAGACATAAAAAATGCCTTCTAATCATAATATGTAAGGCTCTCATTTATCCAGAAATCAAACAGTTAGAAAGCTCAAATAGCACAGTACTGAGTATGGATATATAATAGTCAAACAAATAAAGAAAAACAACTTGATACTACTATAAAACTTGAACTGGTTTTCCAGATTATTAAATGAAATTTATATGTAGTCTGAATAGAGTTTCCTTGTTAACGTATCTTACCATATTTTTGAATGTGTGAAATTTGGGAAACCATATTCCATATATGGAAACTCTTAGCTAACCAGAGTATCCAAATAACCATAATACCTCGCTCCCTCACCGTTCTGGATAAATGGAGTTTATTCATTTGCAAAGCACACCAAGCATCAAATGTCTGTGCAGGCACATGTATTAGATTGTGCGGAGACTGAAGTGAGGAGGGGAATCAAAAGTACCAACAAAGAAGCACTGAGCAGAGCCCTGCGGCGGCTTTTCCAAGGCACTGCTGCCCAGCATTCTGGTCTCGGCTAGGTGGGGAACCCTGAGAGCTGCGACGGAGGGGAGGCCTGGGGCGGAGGCCTGTGGAACTGTCTGGCTGCACAGGGTGCTGGGGTCACAGCGTAAACCTGCCTCCCTGCATCAGGCTCAGGCAATCCAAGTTTCGTGGCATCGTGTGCTTCAGTAGAAAACAGACTGATGTTCTCTGAGGAAGGGGTTCTGAAAGCCCCCACCCAACGTCACAGCCTTCTTCAGCTCCTAAATTTATCAGGCAGGTACTGACTACTACCTGGGCCTCTCCCCTTTCTCCTTTATCCCGTAATAAAGGAGGAATTACACGCTTCATACAATGTAACTGAAAGGCCAAAACCAACTTCCTCAGAGTGCCGAGTTGCATCATGGGCATTCTGGAACAGTGGTTCCCACTGGGCGTCCTGGATTCCCTTCCAGGCAGAGAGTTTCTCGAGCTAGGCCTCAAGTCCAGAGAAAATCACACAGGCTGCATGGGCAGAGGAGAGCTTTCCCTCCCCTTTTGTCCAGACTCCTGTCTGCTTTACTGAGGCCAGAGTGATCCTCTAGGCGAAGAGAAGCTCTGCCTGACTTTAGATGCGCCTTTAGTACATCAAAAGTACATGGAAATGGGCTACAGTTGCTTTAATTAATAGGGTCTCCATGAATTGCAAGAGATCTGCAGACTGGGGTCCCTGAGGGTAACCTGAAGGTCTTGGGTGGTGACAAGGCTGGAAACCATAGAGAACATGTCAATGGTCCAGAGAAAACATCCGCTGGTCTCTCTGTTGGGAAGTTGCTGCTACAAAAGAACACCCTTCCGGGCCTCACACCCACTCTCCATCCCCTGGGCGTTTGCTCTCTGAATCATCTGGGATAACTTACATATTAATCATAGCACCTCCTAGTGAGCCTCTGACCTCCAGCCACTGTGCTCCCCAAATTCAACCTGTGAACTTCAGCAGAAAGGACATCTGCTGTAGGGGGGGCACCTCCTTGGAGATTTTCCCTCATTAAACAAAAGCGAACCTCTTAAGTGGGCACCAGGTAAGATTCCACACAGATGCCTCAACAAAACAAAATGTGCCTCTGGATGATCTACACACACTGCCTTGCTCCCTAGGTGATTGTACGGGTAGAGAAAGATTGGCCGCAAGTGTGAAAGTTTACTTACTCAAAAGAAAAGTCATCAAGTCTAAAAAAAAAAAACACAAAAATACTATTTAATATCACAGGTACATACTAATTCCAATACTGTTTAAGGACAATATCAATGTTCCGGTCCCCTGTTCAGAGACGGTCCCTACCTAACTTATCCTGCAAACGTTTGTTCAGCGTCTTCCCCAGGGCGCAGCCTGCAGGCAGACCCCTCCAAAACCGCCCAGGCTGCATCCCTGGGTTTTAGTCATCTTGCTCATAGGAGCGAAGGAAGATGAAGGAAGGGGTAAAAGGCGAAACTCAGCTTTAAGATTCTTCTTCCCTTGATACGAAGCCATTTGAGGACAGAAAGGGGGAGTGAGTGCCTCAGCAGTGCTGGAGGCCCCCCACTGCGGCTTCCAGGGCAGAAGCAGAGGGGAAGAACCAGCGGTGTGGCCACCTGGAGTGGCGGCTTTCATTCCCATCCCTCTCTGCAGAGAGGGCCCCTTGTCCCGGGACCAACAGTAGCTGGCCCGTGGACATTCTGCGCCCGTGAACTGACTGACACCAAGTTTAGCCAGAGGAGGACGAGCCTAACGGCCTTACTGGTAGTCCGTGCAGCTGCCTTTCCGTTTGCGGGTGCAGTCCACGGCACCGGTGCCCAGGGGGCTGGAGAGGAGGTCGCTGGCGCCTGGGGACATGAAATCACTGATTGTTGAAGAAATGTCCATTCTCTGGTCCGCCATTGGAGGTCTGGAATTGGTACAAGGAGGCACAGAGTCGCGTTTATTGCTGTGTGCTCTTCTGAAGTGGTGGACGGCCAGGGTGGCTCTGGGAAGGGACAGGGTGCTTACTCACTGCACAAAGACACCTCTCACCCAGCTACCGGAACAGGGACTTGGAAGGAAGGGAGGAGCCTCGCGCTTGCTTTAGGAGCTAGTATGGTAACCTAGGCTCGCCTCTTTGTTTTCCTGATGAAAAGCCCACCGGAGCCAGGCTACGGCACGGAAGAACTAAGTCAGAGCCCAGGCTGCAGCCCAGCGCTTCTCTCCGAGGGGCCGCGTGTGCCGGGTGTTCTCTGACAGTCAGGTCAATGAAATAAATGTGATTTACTTGTTATCTTTGTATTTTCGTTACAACTTCTGTAAAAGTCCCAGGAAAGCAGAAACTACACTTTTCTCAGACCACACAGGGTGGGGCAAGAGTATTTTTACAGTTGTTCATATGAAAATAATACAATACTTTATAAATAATAATGTAAGAGTAAACTCTGTTTCACACACAAAGGTAAACCTACTTTCTCCCTGCCCCGTGCACAAGGTCTAACCCAGGAGTCAGGAAAATACTGCCCCTTTCTGTCAGCGGCCCAGACAAAGTCTGTCCTTTCTTCCCCGGCTGTCCTTTCATACCCAGCATCCCCTGCAAGGAAAGCCTTGCATAATGAAATGAAGACATTATAAGTCAATTTGCAAGACATTTCGAGAATTTACATTTTAAAATCACAAAGTGAGCTGGCCCAACAAGGAGGCTAACAAGTACCTTACAAGGAACGCCAGCTCCTAACTGAGTGGAAGAGGTCCGTGTGCGGCCCGCAGCCGGGGGTCCGAGCTCCGCACGACGAGACTGGGGCGGTCACTCCTCCTCTCCGGGCCCAAGTTTCCTCATCTGCGAAGCGGTACGTAAGTGTGAGCTCTTGCTTTCACGGTCACTATCATGCCCAAGGACTAGAGAACCAGGTGCTCCTGGTTGGGCATGCACCACATTCTCACTTTCCCAATCATCTGCTGGAGGGAACATCTTCATGCACGTATCTTCATACATTTAAGCTGTTATCTCTTTGTATACATTTCTAAAAGTAGGACTCCCAGAGCAAAAGGGGGGACACACACTGCATGTTTGGGTGCCTCCTGAAACACTGTGCTGCAGGAAAGCTCCAGTCATTTGTACCCTCCACGAAATCTCCTGTCAAGCTGAAGGCACAAACCTCATTGTTTTTACTTGTACTTTCAGTCACTACAGATGGTGTTCCCATGTCACAGGCATTTCTCTGTCTGCCTTCTCATGTCCCATTTTTCTGTCTTTAGTACCTACAGGCCTCCTAGCTCATGTCCACCTGAGTACCTGAACCGGGTGGGAGAAAAATGCACAGCAAACTCACTGCTCTCACTTTCAGTCCACCCCTGCTCACAAGGCCCAGCACTGCCCAGCGGTCCTGGGCTCCCTGCTCCATTCACTCTCCCACTCTGCTAACGGGACATTGTGCTGCCTTTTTTCTCAAGCCCCCAGCATCTTCCAGATCCTCAGCCTCAGCTAATACCTTTGCTTTCTACTTTACTGAGAAAGGAGGCCAGTGGCCATAGCTACCAGCCTACCTAGACGCTGCTGGTTAGGGCCCCACACTGGGCGGCGTGTGCTGGCTTCATCCTCTCCCGTGACTGGAGAACGGAGACCATCTCTCCAGAAGTCTCTCCTGGACCCCAACCCGTACCGTCCACTTTCCCATCTACTGAACCATTCTCATGAAGATCAGAACACATTGTAACAACTCTTTATCGCAGGGGGAAAAAACTTTGGGCTTCAATCTCTCCAGCCACTGCCCCATTTCTGTTTCCAGTTCCTTTCCTCTTCCTCTCCATAAACCAACTCCCGTCAGGCTTTTGTCCCCATCGTTCCACTAAGACAGCCTCTCCTGTCCCCAGTGACTTCCTCATGGCTAAACCTGATGGCTGGCTTTCCATTCATTCCCTCCCGATCAGACCCAACAGCAACATCTATCAGACCTGATCCCTGTCCCTCCTCATTGTCTCCTGTTTCAGAGATGCCACCTTCTCCTGATTTTCCTTTAGTGGCATCGTTTGTGGTCTCTTTAGCCAGTTCCTCCTCTCCTCCCTCGTATCTGAATGAGGGTCCCATGGATGTCCTTGGACTCCTCCCTGTCTGCACCCATTCCCTAGGAGATCTGTCTGTACTACCTATGCTATTGATACAACAGCTCCCAAATTTACACCTCTCCACATTCCAAGCTCATAGAACCATCTCCCCGACACCTCCACTTGAATTTACAACAGAGACCGCAAACTGAAACACGCAGAGCCAAACCCCTGGGCTCCCCAAGCCCGGCCGTGGCCAGGCCCGAGTCAGTATTTCAGTCCCTCTGGCTGCTCAGGACCCAAACCTCGAAGCCACTCTTCACTCCTTTCCTTCTTTCACACCCTGCATCCAATCCGTCACGAATCCTATTAACCCAACATTTAAAAAAAAAAACCCAAATTCAGCCACTTCTCCATTTTTTCCTGTATAATATTTCTGCTCAAATATCACTTAGTCAATGAAGCTTCCTTGAATGTCCATATAATATGACCTCCTGACGGCTCCCTAACCACCCCACCCTGCCTAATCTTTTCCACAGCCCTTAGCAGAATTTGGTCTGCGGTCGCCTACTTCTTTCTCCATTTCCTCTTCATTGGACTACAGCAGGGGACGAGCTGGGACTTCGGTTTACTGCTTGTGCCCTTAGTACCCGGAACACACCCTAGCACACAGGGAGAACTCAATACATAGGTGGTGAGGGAATAAATTTGTGTATTAGAAATGTATTCTTTGTTCATCATGGATGTAAATACTTTTTCTTCCTTTTCGCCTTTTAACTGTGCTTATGGTATTTGTATATGATAATAAAAGTGACATTTTAAAAAGCGTTTTCTCACCCTGGCTGGTATGGCTCAGTGGATCGACCACCAGCCTGTGAATCAGAAGGTTGTGGGTTCAATTCCTGGTCAGGGCACATGCCTGGGTTGTATGATAGGCAATGAATCAGTGTATCTCTGGTGAATCAGTGTATCTCTAGTACATCAATGTTTCTCTCCCTCCCTTCCCATTTCTCTAAAATAAATACATACATACATACATACATAAATCTTTTTTTAAAAGAAGCCTTTCCCACCCCCAAATCATAAAAATATTCTCTTTACTAATTTGGCCTGACTATACATTTCAATATCTGGTAGAATAGATCCTTTCCCTCATTACTCTTCATTTGCAAAAAAGTCCTGGCTACGCTGATTTATACTATGAGAAGCACTTTCCAATCACTTAATCACGTGAAAGACCCCGCTGGGCGGCCGCCATCGCTGCTCCGTTATTCCCGACGTTAAGGGCAGTGGGCCAGGAAGGAGTGCGGAGCCCTACCCTCGGGGCCTCGGTGGCCCTGGGCTGTGGCTGGCTGTGAGCACCGCCGATGGCCCACCCACCCTTCAGGACCAGCTGGAGTATGGCTCTGGACAGCTGCGTGAGATGGAATATTCGAAGTCTCAGGGTCTGGGAGCAGCCACACTTTCTGAAAGAACCACCACTGTGGAAGCGGCCATGAATTAGCAGGGTGAGGGGGAAGGCAGGGAAAGCGAGGGTTTAGTACCTGAAGCTGCAGTTCCTCAACCTCAGGTCCGCCCTGGGAGGGGTGAGGAGCCACTGGACTTGCTGGTCACCTCAAAGTGATTTTCATGTTTTATAGTTTCCTTCCAGGCAGTCAGCTTCGTTCAGAGACCTGCAGTGGGGCCACAGGAAAAGAACACCCAGACAGGTCACTTGGGGTGAGTGAGTTTTAAATCTCACATTAGCCGAGGGAGATGGGGGCACGAAGTCATGACTCCTGATTACAGGGAGTGACTGGACGGCTCACTACCCATCTCTCAGCTGCCTGTTAAACTAAACCACAAACACACAACCCCTTCATGTGTCTGTGGTTTAGTTTACCAGGAGATACTTCAGCAGGGGGTATTTTCTGTGAAACAATGCCTTTTAAACTACTAAACATGGATTTTGGACATGGCCTTAAAAGAAGACAGATAATTATATTTTTCTCTTCTCACACTGGGTCAAGCAGTAACCACAGGGAACTTACTAAGTGCTCACTCTGCATCGAGCCCCGTGCTTACTGCACTACGGAGATGAACTCAGACCTGAAAACAGTTCAGCGAGGTAGGGACTGCCCTGCTCTTCATTTCACTGAAGACACGGCTGAGACAGAGGGGAAGGAGCTGGGTGAGGTGACAAGGCTGGAATGGAGGGGACCCAGAGGCCACACGCACTGCTGACCAAGTCACTCAGCTCTCCTGAGTGCAGTTAGTTAGCTGAACGCAGACTATGGAATACAAGTCTTTGGAAAACATCAAGCCAAAACGATACGCCAGCAGAGCCAACGCTTGGAGCATCTTAGCTGAAGAAGCTCAGGTGTGTCTGTGCACACAAAGCTGCGGGAGAAACGAGCTACGAAAAGGCGCTGCCCGCCCACCTACCCACAACCGGGAGGAAGCGGCTCTCAAGGGAGACGAGAGGTGCAGCCCCGCTCCTCCTCCTCCTTCCCCACCCTGCCTTGAGATGGCAAAACCCGGATTTTAAATGGGGCTTTACCGGCCTCTCTGAAGCAAGAGTTCTGGTGTTTCACATTCCACGGACTAATTCTTGTCATCTTTGGACTATCTTTGTCTTGATCTTTCTAAAGGTCTTCAGATGCATATGCAGGAATAGAACTGATTTTGTTCTCTCAATTTATTCCCCTTTGTAGTCTGACTCAGAAACCTTCACTGTCCAACTCTGATAACCCCAGTTTTCGGGCATGTGCTTGCTAACGACCTGACCTGGAGCTCTGGGCTTTAGTTTCTAAGCCTCAGTTGACACAGCAGTGGCAAATAGATGCGAAGTCCCCAGGTAAAGCTGCTAGAGCCGGACTTACCATTTGTGGTTCCATCTAAGTCCAGTTCCCCATCCAGGTCCCACACCATCCTCCAGCCCCCAAATGAGTATCCCGAGATCTACGCTGGGCACCCTCCTCTCTCTCCTTCCACACCTCGGACCCTCACGTGGCCCTCCAGTGGATGGATCCAGCCACGTCCCTCCATCCCCTGCTCATTGCTCCATCCAGGCTGCTCTCCTCTCCAGCCTCATCCCCTCCTCAGTGGGGTCAGTGACAGGACACCCCCGCTTCCTTGTTTAAAACACGTCACTGGCTTCACTGTAACAGGCTGGGCCAAAACACTTCATTGGCTTCTGCTCCAAGCCTTTCAGATAAATCCTCAGACTCCCCAGAAGGAAATGCCAGGCCCCCGCCATGGCTTGCTGGCTCTCCACCCGACCTCCTCATCTGTTGCCGAAAGCTCAAGGTCACCGATATAAGTTCCCAGGAGCCCATGGCCTCAGCTGTGCCACGTGGTCCTGCAGGTGAGGCTCCCTTTAGCCACTCCATCACCTGGTGAACTGCTTTCTTCTCAAGTGCCATCAGGTGTTGCCTCCATGAAGCACCTTCTGGCTCTACCCGCGCTGCTCCTGCCCATCCCTTCACACCCGGCAGCCTCTCCCTGCCTTCTGCCCCCACCCGGCCCTGTGGTTTTATTGTCTGGTGTCTCCCAGTGCCACCCCTCACTCTCTTTCCCCCACTTCCCTGAAATGTAGGCAGAAAGTTCTAGCAACCAAATGGCTTATGAAATTTCTTATTTTGACCATTTTTTTCAAAACTCAAATTTGCTTTAGAGAAATAATAAATCCTAACGTGGATTGTGGCACTATAGTTTGCAAAACAAGAATCAAGAAACCTTTCTTACATGATTGGCCTAGGTAAGGAAACTCAATCAGCTGAGACACTGAACAATTATTTTTGGAAAACTGCTTTCTCTCCAAGAAAGTAATCTTAGATGTAAGACTATAAATGAAACAACAAAAGAGAAAAAACCCTCCTTCTGGTTATTTACTTCCAAAAGAGATTTGACCTAAGGGGGCTCCAATTGATGGGGTGCTGTGCCAGGGGCCCTTGCTAAGGCGGTCCGGCCAGCCGCCGTGCTGCCGCTGTCCAAATGGTGCAGAGCGAGGATACTTTGGGGGGAGCCTGGCCTGTGGTCCTGGGGTTGGGAGCCACATGCGTGCCCACCTCTGAGTTAGAGATTCCAAAAGTCGGGGGAGGCTCACTGGCTGGCCAGAAAAAGCAAAGCACACAGGGACTTGTGAAGTGTCCTGGGAAGAACTTGGGGTCACCCTCTGTCCCACCTCAGTCCCCTTGTGCCCCTCAGAGTGGCACAGGGAGAGGAATCTCAGGCACCACACAAAGAAGTGAGGGGACTGGAAGAGGAGCCGCAGCTCAGGCTGCCCTTGCAGAAAGGCCTTTGCACCCAAGAAGGGTGAGGTCATCAATTGCTGCTCCGTGCCCAAAGGAGACACAGCAGCTCCTCTGAGCAGAGCGGGGTGAGGCTGAATGGCCCCTTAAGAAAACCACACACCCCATCTAAGGAAGGAAGATGACCACATCCAAGACCACCAATCACACACACCAGGTGTCTCTTTCTGCTTCCCCTCTGCCCTGCCCCAGCACCCAGAATGCTGCATGAAGAGAAAGGACAGCCCTGGCTGGTGTAGCTCAGTGGATTGAGTGCGGGCCTGCTAACCAAAGCATCACCAGTTTGATTCCCAGTCAGGGCACATGCCTGGGTCGGAGGCCATGTCCCAGGAGGGGGTGCACTAGAGGCAATCGCACATTGATGTTTCCCTTTCCCTCTTCCTCCCTCCCTTCCCCTTTCTCTAAAAATAAATAAAATCTATTTTTTAAAACAAAAGGACAGTGTGTAGGTTATTAAGGGTCTAAGTATTAGCTGCCTTCCTGTGGGGACAGTCTGCAGGCCACCTCAGTATCAGGCCTGGCCCCGAGACTTAACTGAGAAGTGTGACTGCACAGGACAGCCATAACTCTGGAACAGAACCTCTAACACGTGTTTCTCTTGCCAAGACCAGCAATTTCCTGAACAGAGAACTAAATAAGCCTTTGCTACTATAAGCCATCGAGATGCTGAGCCATTATTACTAGGGTGACCAAGTCTTCTGTTTGCCTGGGTCCCGGGAAACCCCCTGTCCCAGGTAAATCAGGACGGTTGGTCACCTGGTTCTTAGTGCTGCAACACTCCTCTTAAGATGCCTGACTCGGGCAGGAGGAAGGAAATACAGACCAGGATCCTGGAGCCACAGACCAGGCCTGAACTCGGAAGAGCCAAAGAAAACAGTGGCATTCACAGTGGACGGGTTTAATCTTCACAATGACCTCTCCACTCATTGTGATCATTACCCAGTTTTCCGGGCAGGGAACTAAGGGCAGAGGAGGCCAAGTTATCTTAAGACGGCACAGACAGCAACGAGGACTGTATTGGGGTCCGTCTGCTGGTTCTACCCACCACACTGCTGCTGGTCCTGCCTCCAAAGCCACAAAGTAACTCACAAAACGCCCCAAATGAGCATGCCCGGGACGAAATGCAGGGAAATGGTAAGAAGGTGAAGTCCTGGTTCAGGAGCACTGTGAAAAGGGAGCAAAGGAGCTGTCTCTGGGCCTCCAGGTGAAAGGGCAGGGAGGGAAGCAATCGGACCTCACACGGGCTGCGGCGGCAGCAGCTGGTTCCCTGGAACAGGCTGAGCGAGGGGGAGCCTGTCAGGGGGTCTCTTCGGGTTCTGAGCGTGCTGTGCGAAATGGCTTTGGGGAAATACGCTTTGTGAAAGAACACAGGTCTCTCCCCACTTTTTAAATGGACCCCAGTGAAAGCCTTCCCCGCCCTCGAGCCCCTGCCCCCAGGTGCGACAGCTGAATAGAGTTAAGACCACTTTGTGAAGCCCCAGGATGTCACTGGAGTAATGGCTTTAGATGGTGTAGCTTACTCAAAGGGCACGGCTTAGGGGAAAATGAAGGACAGTGACTCAGCATCCCGGACTACCCTTGTCTGGTGGCAACGTGCTTATCAGTCAACGTCCCCACAACATCCCACACGCTCCAGGTTTACCGACGGGATGAGGGGGACTTGCTCTGGTCTGTTTAGATGGTGGTGGCCTTTGAGCAGAGAGGCTGATGGGCCTGCCCCCCTGCAAGTCCCTCTTGACCCTCGTGGTTACTCGGACAGCCTGTGGGGAGTCCAGCCGCCTCTACAGCAGGTAGAAAATGTTCACGCAGGGAGACCAGGGGCCTTGACCTGAGGTGTCTGCACCGGGATTACTCGACAAGCACTTCTCCAGCTCCTAGCGGAAGCCAGGACTCTGGAGACGCAGAGGAATGAGCAGTCCTGATGTTCAAGATTCCCTCAGTCTGGCTGGAGGGACAGTGTTCCAGTAAAGACGCTGTGATGCCATGATCCATGCAACAGGCAGGGCCAAGCTCCCAGTCATGTGAGCAGAGCACTTGGAAAGGATGTGCGGTTGCCTTTCTCAGAGATTTGTGGTGTCATTATGACAAACTTCCAGCAGGTGGCAGTCAAGTGTTTTGAGGAAGGTGTGCTTTTTTCCCCCTGACTGTGGTGTGTGTGTGTGAGAGCAGAGGAGGAAAATAAGTCACTTACTGGCCAGTGTGTGTGTATGGAGGGGGTGGGCAGTTAGTGGAAGGAGAAGGGAGGAGGTGAGACCTGAATTAGGTGTTGCAGATATTAGTCTGGTGGACTGGATGGTGGGGAGTGTGTTCTGAGCAGGGGAGAGTGACATTTGCAGTGGCTCCCAGAGGCTTGGGGGAGAACCCTGCTCGTGGCACTATGTACCCAGTCCCACTGGTGACTCTAGATGCTTGGGAATCTGCAGTCAAACATAAATCAAGGAGACTGCCTTTGGAACAACACGGCTCGGATGGCCGATGAAGAGGGTCTCACAGGGGCAGGATCTGTCAACCCTGAAATATTTGGTGAATCAAAACAAGGCTGGTCTTTGTGGAAAACATCCCCCCGCCCCCAGTACCACTGATGGAGGAGAGTCCCCAGACTGCAGTCTTGGAGGGCTACTGAGGGCTGTTACAGAGGGGCTCATGGGTCTAATTAAGAGTCACGAAACAGGGCACACACCTAGCCCAGCAGGCACTCAGTGAGTGCTTGTTGAATAAAAGCGATGCCTTCTTAGACCTTTGCCAAGTCTATCTCTGACGTACAGGAAGGAGAACAACCGAGGAACAAGCTAAGGCCCCACTGGGCTTTCTGGGAGGACTCTTGGTCCTGAATGGGGAGCTACAGACCACCGATTGGACTGGTGTGGGAAGTAACCTGATTCCAGCTGACAGCTGAGCCACTGCCCAAACTGAGGTGACTCGGGATGTGGCAGTAGAATGAGCAGAAGGGTCAGACCTGCAACAATGGGGTGGACGAGCAGATACAGATTATTCCTTTAATAGGTTTGATTAAAAAAAGACTGCAAAGTGATGTTGAATCTCAGGAAGGACTGACCCCCCTTCAACATCCACGCACCACCTGAGACGGGCGCTGATATTACTTGTGCTTTTAGTGAGCCTGGCCCTCCATGACAGAGTGGTGACGAGTGTGCTCTGACCGTGTTCTGATCCTGCCGCCACCATACACTGGTGCCTGGGGTGCGGGCCTCAGTTCCCACACGTGCAGGACCTCGGCTCCGAGTGCCAGGTCTCCCGACCTGTGTGGTTCGGGTGATGACACTGCCGGCCTCAGAGCTGTGGTGGAGACGTAGAAAGTGCTCAGGATGGTGTCTGCCACGTAATAAGCCCTCTGTAAGTGTTACCTATCATCGTCTCACTTAACCACCAGGACAGCCCTCTAACATGGCTGATGGCATCTCTCCCATTTGACAGATGAGGAAATGAAGTTTCAGAGCAGTTAAGTAACTTGCCCGAGGCAGGTGATTTTATAGGAAGGTCAATTTAAACCAGGCCAGCCCTCCCTAAAGCCCACCGTCTTTCTACTATACGGCAGAGCCCCCTGCACAGAGTAAGAAGTGGGCACATTCCGGAGGAAGCAGGGATTTAAACATTTTTGAAGCTAGCACTTGCCAAAGGTCTGTCTTGGAACACTGGTTCCACGGGATTTTAATGATGTTACATGGGAGAAAATATCAATGGCCAGGGAAGTATGGGGAACGCTGGGTTAAGTCGTTACGTGTCTCTTCTGCAGGGCTTCTCAGAACCTTACACAGGTCAGGTGAAGGTCCAGAAGCAGCGGCGTCTTCAGTTCCCCACGCATGCCCGTCCCAGGCCTTTCCTCCTCTGACACCAAACAGCAAAGGTTCAGTGGGGCCAGACCCGGGCCTGCGCTGCAGAACCAGGCAGGGCTGAGGACCCCTCCCTGTGCCCCTGCCACCTCTCCCTCCCTAACGATTTCCTGGCCAGAAGGTGCTTGGTATGGCTTTATCTGCCCCTTGGCTCCTTGAGAGCAGCTGAGGCCTGCGGTCCCTAGTCTACTTCTTCCCATGTGTGCTCTCTGACCACTTCCTCTGCCAGTGCATGACCCCTGCCCCAAGCTGCCCTCTGCCTCTCAGCACCCATGGGCACTCAGCCCACTTCCTGCACTTTGCTCTCAGCACCCACGGGCATTTAGCTATCTTCCTGGACTTTGCTCCAAGGCCTTTCCCTGCAGCCTGGACCTGGGATTACTCTGCATTACCTGGAGGGTAACGGTGGAATCTGAAGCTGCCAACAGGTGCTGCTTATCCCTAAGTAGGGGCCAGGCCTCATTCTTCTCTACAGCCCAGTGCCCAGCACAGGGCCTGGCATGCAGGAGATGCTCAATGTCTTGTGTGTGCAGGGAGGGGGCGCTCTGTAGCTGCTACATTCTGGCTGTCCTGCCACGTCAGCTCTGGGAGGCAGCTTTCCACGGGCGAAGCTCTGCTCCCAACCCTTAGCCTCGACATGACCCTACATTCAAAGATGGCTCGCCCCCCTCCCCATACCGAGAAGGATCAAGGAGTCATGCTTATTAACCAAAGATGTATTGGCCTGGCTCCTGATTTCTTTACTTTTTTCTTTCCTCTTCTTTTAAATAGTACAGAATAAGAAAAGAGAATCTAGCCCTGAAGATTCAGGGGAAGAAAACTGTTTCTACCAAAAAACTTACTGCCTGAAGTTGAACAAAGTTCTGGGAAAGTTCATCTGCATCTTGTTCTGAAGGAAACAAAAGGATGAACTGCTGTTACTTGGTGGCAAAGGGAACTTGCCAGGTGAGGGAGAGCTGAATCAGGATGGGGTGACCAGAAGAGTGCTTTGTGTTTCTGCGTGGGCTGTGGGTGCAGGTAGCTCAGGTGGGCAGCAGGGTTGGACCCAAGAAGGGCTGAGACTCAGAGATCGTGAGGAAGGCTGGGAGCAGCAGGACAGAAACTGGGAAGAATATTAAGCAATGGAGAAAAGGGGTACGAAAGGACCTTATATGGAGTGGCCTTCACCTTTGTCATGGCAGAGGGCAAGGCCAACTGTGAAGCACGGGAGGGCCCTGAGGACGGGCTGGGACGGGGTGTGGGGGGTCCGGGGGTGCATAGCAGCAGAGCCTCTTGGGTGAGGCCACACAGCAGGTGTTTATTCAGAGCTTGTCAACCAGGCCTGTGACATCCCTGAAGTGGATGACCACATGCTGGTGAAAAAAGGAGGACAGAAGGCTGTGGAAAGGTAAGTGCTGATGTCAGAGAGCAAACTCAGATGGAAAATCTTGGGTCTGAAGCTCAGAAATGGTGAGAAAGCAGCACAGGGAGAGGGCAGACCTACTGGCAGGTGGACATGAAGGAACTTAGAGTGGAGGAGCTCCAGGACCAGGGGGCGTCAGTGAGCAGCACTGGGGAGATGCCGGACTGGGGGACCTGGGAGGGGCTGGGGAACAGCCCAGAGGTCAGCATTTTGCTGCAGGAAGCACTGGAGAGTAAGAACCTGGTATTTGAAAAGTCCAATCCCTTCGTTTTATGGTCAATGAAACCAAAATACAGAGAAATAGCTCCTACAGAAAGCTAGGAGTAGGATAATGGGAATGTCAAGCCAATGGGCCATAATAACAGAACTATGGAATTGCCCAGGGAGATGAGCTGGTGAGAGCAAAGGACCATGATCTCCCTAGAGAGAGGCAGCCCAGGAGAAGGGGAACCAGCAGGTGGACAGCTGCTGCCCAGAGCCGGCTGCACCCGGGGCTCCGGGGTGAAACAACGACCCCCGGCTAAGAAGCACTGGGGGCACAGGGAGGTAGGCCCCCCCTTATGTCCCACCTGCCATAGGTTCTGGTGAGGAGGCCTCCGATGGCTACCACAGTTCCGATGCCCTAAAGCGATCCATCCGACACAATTTACTGAGGACCCATACATGCCAGGCAATTTCTATGGTGAGAGAATTGGTAATTTGTATAAATTCCCACCACAAATTCCATGTAGCCGTCAAATTTCAATTCAGGACAATTTTGTAATAATAAAGACACTTGTGCACTGGCCCACAATCACTCATTAATCTTTCAACAAAAACTCTGAGGGCAGCCACGTGCCAGGCGCTGTCCTCCTCAGCAGTGCTGGGGCTGGGGCTGGGGACAGAGGCCCTCGTCCTCACACATTCTGGTGAGGACGGCAAGCAAAGGAGACACAACATAGGTAAGTACGGCCGGGGGGTGGTAAGTGCTGGGGAGTAAAGTCAGGGCCAGAAGTGCACTGGACATGAGAGCGGTCTAAACGTGAGGAGGTGAGGGGTCAAGGAGGGCGCATTTCAGGCCAAGAAGAGCCAGTCAAAGGGCTGTCATGGAGCCAGGCAGTGTTGGAGGACCAGCCACGAAGCCTGCTTGGCTTTTAGGCTGGTCAGTGTTGAGAAGAGGCTGCGGAGAGGGGGGCTTCTTGAGGGGCCGCCGTGTGTGTCGAGGGGAGGAGAGACCACGTGTGTGTGTTGGGGGCCGAGTGTGTGCTGGTCTGCGGGGGTGGGTATGGGGGATTGTGATAAAGGTAGCACAGGGCGGCCAGGAAGGAGACGACTAGAGCAGCCTGGGGAGGAGATCATCCGGCTCAGCCCTGGTCTCAGCAGCGGAGGTAAGGAGAAGAGCTGCATTCCAGGTACATTTCCAGGCAGGCTGAGCTGACCAACGGGATAGGAGGTGTGAGAGGAGTCCCGGCAGCGTGGCCACGGTGGGGTGAGGCGATGTTGTTGATTCTCGGTATACTCTGAAGGAACAGCCAACGGGATTTCCTGACTGTTTTTTTCTGACATGAGGGGCGACAGCCAGTCTGTGAACTGCACAAAGGCCCAGAGAGCAAGGGGATGACAGCGGGAGAAAACATAGCCCAAGTTTACTTGCGAGGCAGTGTGCCCTGTGTGACAGCTGGAGGGACCCACCCAGCAGGGGCAGGAGCCCGTGGCCTGGGGCACACAGTTCCAGTGAGACATCTAAGCTGCATCAGAGCACACGGCTGCGGTCCGCCCACCGCCCACCTTTCTGGAGCAGTGACTGCCTCCATTTACTGAGCATCAGAAGTGCCAAGGGCAGTGCTGGCCCCAGCACAGCTCACTTGGTCCTCACAGTGACCTCGTGGAGAAGGTACTGTTAGCAACACCATGTAGAAGATGGCCCTGAGGCTCGGAGAGGCACAGCACCTTGTCCAGGATCACACAGCTGGGAGGTGGGGAACAGCGACTGAACCCGGATGTACCCAACTCCACAGCCGGGGCTCCCCACAGGCCTTGTTGCTTCAGTGACTCAGCAAAGAACAGCAAAAGCTCCGTCCCAAGTAGGAGAAAGAGGGCAGGGCAGGCTTGTGCCCATCCACCTTCCGCCTACACTGTAAAGATGCCAGAACCGGTAACAAGGTTGTGAACTGACCATGTGCTGGAGGAACGGCAGGCGTGCTTGACTGGTCCACTCCCAGGCAATCAGATGATCCTTTCTGTCTCAACTCGGAATGACTGGAAACCTTTTGGAAACGCACTTGCCCATCTGTCTGCCCTGGCAAGCACAGTCTGAGGGAGACATTTACTCTTGAGACAAGTCTCCAGGCCTTCCAGCTCCAAGATGTTTATCTAAGTGTGTCCTGACCCCAGGAGTCACCCTGCAAGTTCCTCCTAACGGAAACGAAATCAGCTTGTTTTCTTTCATCTGTCTCTTTCCTACCGTAGCAATAAAAAAAAAACAACAACACATTTTGGTGATTTCAGTTTCGTTTCCCCAAGCTCTGGTTGCAGCAGTTGTTATGTGCCTAAGGATCTGAGAAACCATGGATGTCAGAACTCAAGACACTTTTTCTGAGAAAATATTCAGTGCAGGAATCACAATACAAATTATAATGCCGGAGGAGCAGCAGCGGAAACCACACACTGAGATTTTGTTTCGTGTTGGTCAGTATCGTTTCCTTTGGTCCTCAGAGGAGTAACTAATTCTTAGAGGTCAAGTACCTGGCCTGAAATTTCTCAGCTCGTGAGTGGGAAAGCCCAGACCCAGGGGTCTTTGGCTCCAGGGCAGGGGAAGGAGTAATGTTCTTTCTGAATTAGATTAATTAAAAGAAGAAATAAAACACAACCTCCTATAAATCAACACAAAGACAAATACCTCAGTGCAAACATCAGTAAAAAACGTGGACCAGGAATTCACGCAATGGACACAGTTCACTTGGGCGGGCAGAGGTCACCCAACAGCCAAACACACTTGGCAAGGAGCGGGGAGCCCAGCTGGGTGTGCTTCCTACAAAAACCTACACATGAACGTTAGAAATATTTGTATAGAGGTGGGAGGAGTGAAAACACAGAGATGATGATAATGAAAACTGCTTCAGACTCTGAGGTACGTACTTTCTACAAGGAACGGGAAACACCAAAACATCTTATTTCTCTGACAATGAAAGCAGTTAAAAATTCTGCTTTCTGCTGCACATCTAAGAAAAATAAAACCATTTCTTTTCATTTCAAATCTATACTAAGGTTTCTCCAGCTAATTTGTAAGCTAATACACACACACACTCACACACTCCCTTTCTCGTACTTTCAAAGATTCATGTATTTTTAACATTCCTTTCCCTCCCTTCAAGTGAAATTTGGAAATATAATCTACCAGCACTTATAATTTCAAAAACAATCAAACATAATACCCTAACTGTAATGCAAAGAAGAAAGAAAATGAAGCTAGGCCCTGGTCATAGCGGCTCAGTTGGTCAGTGTTGTTCTGTGAACTGAACGGCTGCAGGTTAGACTCCTGGTCAAGGCACCTGCCTGGGTTGCAAGTTGGGTCCCCAACAGGGGCGCATGTGAGAAGCAACCAATTGATGTTTCTCTCCCTTTCTCTCTCCCGTCCCCTCTCTCTAAAACTAAATAAATAAAAATCTTTTTGAAAAACAAAGTCAGAATAAGATAATATGTATGTCAATAAGCAAATGTTGTACAGAGCTACCCTAGAGAATAATGAAAGATGCTTATACCGATTTCTAACAAAAAGCAAACCTCATATCAGTGGTGGTTGTGTTCCTGGAAAATTCCACATGCAGTATGTCTTCGAATAATGTCATTTCATTGAATGTCATTTTCGTTGTAACATTGATGAGAAAACTAAGACTCCTGGCCAGGCTCACTGTCTCCGGGACTTCTGCACGGTCTCCCATGTCTGCGTGACTTTTCTCTGGTGCTCGGCTTTCCTCCCACATCCCAAAGATGTGCACGCCAGGTGAATGGGCACGTCTCCACGGTCCCAGTCTGGGTGAGTGTGGGTGTGGCTATGGCCTGCGATGGAAGGGTATCCTGTCCAGGGTGGGTGCCCGCTTTGTGCCCCAATCTGCTGGGATAGGCGCTGGCCACCTGTGACCCTGAACTGGAGTGAGCAGGTTGGAAAGAATTGTCTTACTTGTTTTTATGAATAATTCTTAAATGTATATATAGCTCACATTTATTTCAGTGTTTAATATTAGAAGTGTTTTGGGTGTTTATATAGAAGCTTGGGGATGTTTTCTGAGAACAGAAATATGCTGTAGGAACTTAACTCTTGTTTCTATCAATTAGCCTATGGCAAAATTGGTTTTGTCATCTATCATTTTGCTCAGAGTTGCAGTTTCCAAGAACCTATAGAGGATGTTAATTGAGGACTTACTGTATATTAAAAACATGCAAAAATTGTGTTCATATGTAAAAATGGAGTCAGATTCCAGGCTCAGAAAATTATAAACAGCATTTCACCTATATGATGCCCACTGAACTTTAAATAGAGAGCTGTGTAAGGATGCTGGATGACCCTTTGTTCTCCGCATGTTACATCCCGCATCCCTGCGGCCCCACAACGAAAGCCCTGTCCCCATCACTGTGACAGCCCGTCACCGCACACATCCCCAATATATCCTACAGGAGGCGCTATGTACCCATTCAGTACCTCTAGTGTCATCGAGTTTCTTTTCTACAGAGCAAGAAGGGTCAAAGAGAGGTTAAGAGATTTACCCAAAGCCATACAGAAAATAAAAAAGCAGTCAGGACTAGAAACAGAGAGGGAGTAGCTAGGGGGGAAACAAAATTATTATTCCAATATTTATATTTATTAATTGCTAGACAGCATGCTTTTTATCATGCCAATATAGGCTCTCCTCTAATCCTATCAACCTTAGGTGTTAGTTTGATTACCATCTCCAATTTTCACATGAAGACATACATTGCAGGGAAATTAGGCCCCATTTTTAGTAATGATAGAACCTATCCTACCCAGTCTCTTCTCCATTGCTTTGAGCAACTCTCCCTCTAGGTCTCTGGGTCCACAGCAGGGATCAGGCCCCCACTGCACAGGTCGAGTCTCTAGGAAGAGTGACTGGGATGCACACTATCTGAACAGCCACTGGCACAGCGACAGATGGCGCAGCCGCAGCTCCTTGGCTCTTTCGACTCAGCCAACCTGTGGCTAGTGCCTGGCCAAAACAGCCCAGGAGCCCTGAGCACAGGAAGCAGACTCTGGATGAAGTCAGGGATCATCTTTTTCTAGACTCCTGGGGGAGCCTAGCCTGAGCCACCAGGGGTCAGAGCAGGACGACCATCGTGACTGCGGGGACCACGGTTCCTGCTCCCGAGGGCCTATGCATCCAGTTGCAGCAGAAGGACTGGGGCCCATGTTACGAAAGCAGGAAGGACCGGGCACAGAACGAGGGCTTGGTCACCAAAGCCTGGGTGTTGGGTGTGGGGAATACCCTACAACAGTCATGGCAGCTTCATGGCTCATCCACCTCTGCTCATGTAACCCTCAAAACATCCTTAAGGAAAGGTAAGTGTTGTTTCCACCCTACAGAGGAGGAAATGGAGACAAGTGACTGACACCCCGTTACACAGCCTGTGAAGGGTGGGGCGGATACTCAAGCCCAGGCGGACCAGCCCCACCCACCTCCCTGTCCTGCACCTTCAAAAACACTTCCTGGTTTATGTATGTCAGGAAAAGACACTGACACCCGTATTTGTCACCCTGATCTACACACACCCTGCAGGGCCTGGCAGAGCTACAGTGAACCTGCCTGTTGGTGATAGAGCAGGAAGGGCCTCTGCCCCACAGTCCTTTCTGTCAAAAACTCCGAGGAGGTTCATAGGGAAATAGTTCAGCTCAGGCTCTTGTCCAATGATTGCTTGCAATACAAACCCGAAGCAGCCAGCCCCAGTCGAGTGCACCGTGGGCTTCCCTTTAGTGCTGAGGCTGTGAGAGAAGAGCCCCACAGCCAGCGGCACAGGCTCTGGAGCCAGCCCGCCTGCATCCAGATCTGCGCTCTGCCACTGGCTTGTGTGACCCTGGACAAGATCTGACCTCTACTCCTCAGTTTCCTCATTGGTAAGGGAGGATATTGGTATTAGCCACCTGACGGGGTGGTTGTGAGAAGTAAATAAGACAATTTGTATAAAGCGCTTAGAACAGTTTGCACGTGGCAAGCACTCAACTAATGTCACCTACGGCTAATGTTAATATTGACTGCACATCACAGAAAGAATGGCTGAAGGCGCTGGAGAACAGAAACCCTAAGGGGGCGGGGGAGATACGGGGGTGGGGCAAGGAGTTTGTGAGCACGGCTTTTACACTTCGAAAGGGGAATCATGCCGGAGAATCGTGCCACACAGACGGACCTTTGCTCTGTGTTGCTACCAAGGGCAGGACTGGGTCAATGAGGAAACAGTGCCGAGAGGCAGATCTGACTTAGAATACAGAAGGGTCTCTACCGGCAGACCCGTCCCCAACGGGGGGCGGGCAGAATGCCTGAGTGTGGGTCCTGACGGGGTGACAGGCCTCCCGTCCAGAACAGTACGGATGGGATTTTCCTGCACTGGACGGTGGGCAGAGGAAGTGACCCAGTGCCCCTTCCTACAGAAGCTTTCTGTCACGTGATAAAGGGCAAGTCGTGCTGATTGCCAGGGTGTGGCCGATTAGCTTGAAGGAAGGAAGAAGGACTTTGAACCAGTCTGAACTTCCCCAGCCCTTTAGGACTTTCACTGAAGGCTCTTAAAACACCTTCGAGACACCTTTTGGGGGTGATGGCGGTGGGGACAGAGACAGTGGCTGTGACCAACAGTGGGGCGCTGAGCCAAGTACATTCCTTGAACACCTGCTGGCAAAGTAATTCAGAGAATGCATGAACTGACAGGGTCATTTCAGACTATCACCATTTTCTTACTCTGGAGAATTCAAAGACAGCATCCATCACGCCACTGCCACTGGGACACATGATGAGAGGCGAGTGAGCAGGCTGCCCAGCCCCTCGCCGGGCCTGAGACAGGAGGGCTGGGGGTCGCTGCGGTTCACAGGCAACTTCCCGCCCTCCTCACAGGAGAAGGTTTGGTGTTCTCAGCACTGAGCCTTTCACTGCCACACCACACTGCCCCGGGTACCTGGTCTCCGGCCCAGCCACACACGGTAAAAGAGCAGGGGACTCGGGGACATGGCCAGGAGCAGGGGACAGGAGAGAGGAGGAGAAAATCTGCTCTCTGACAGTTGATTCAGAGATGGGGCATCCA